CACCAACTAACTTAAATACTTACAACAAATAAACGATAGGTGTTTGAATGAAGCTGTTTCTTATGCGAACACAAATCGATTTATCAAGTTTTATCTGCTAGGGTTATGAAAGTGTTTGGCTGAGCAGATCACATCTCAATTTGACCTTTCCAGGCTCTGAAGAAGGCGAAACCGCCGAAACGTCAGCAATTGTGTTCTAATAAATTCTATATTAACAACCTCGTGTTTGCTTATTGATGAAAAACATTGAATTATCAATTAATGCCGAGGTTAACAGAAAGTCGGTCATGGGAATTCTTACATTACTGTCTTCTGTACATGTTTCCCCTGAAAGCATTGGTTTTTACAGTCCCTACAGAAGGCCCACGACTTCTACGATCCAGGTCGAGTTCTTCGGAAGCTGGTGTAAATGGGAAATCATCACGAAATTCATCTCCACAACGAAAGGAAGTGTTGAGTATCGCTCAAGAAACGGTGGATGTCCTTTTACAGCCGGGAAAGGCAAGGTAAAAACAAAAAACGAATGAAAAAGTCTTAACGTTCTCGGGAATCAAAAAGGCAGTGGCAAAACAACTGGAAATTCCGGCCTGCAAGATTTTGCGAATGAGGTACTTGCAGATCTGAACATTCCACAAACACTGATGAAGTGACAGGCATTTCTGTAGTAACGGAGGACGATCTTGCACAACCTCAAGGCCGACGATTTGAGAAGAGGTTAGCCCTCAACTGTTTTCTGCTTTAATATTGTCGTTTTTTATCCAAAAAAAGACTTTGAGGTCCTTTATTCTTTTTAATTTCTCATCATACACCTAGCACAGTCACTCGATTCATCAATTTTGGCAGCGTTTGTTCTCAAGTGCTTAAGTTGACTATTTCTCCAAGGATTCTTAAAATATTTCTCATTTCACATACTTATGTTGATAACTAGGAAAAATAATTTTGACTTATTATTTACTGCCCACTCTTTTTAACGGCAGGGTATACATTGTAAAATATAACTTTAATGATGCTGAGATAGTTCCCAGGATCCACTTTCTCTTAACCTCGGCATTGGAATATGAATGTGTCGTTTTCTTGTTCAGCAATCGCGAGGTTTTTAAACAGCATACATTTACTTCCATAAAAACACAATACAATACAACGCTAGCTGACGTTTCGGCAGTATCGCCTTCTTCAGAGCCTGGAAGGGTATACTGATATGCAATCTACTAGGCCAAACGCTTCAATAACACTTACAAAAAGACGAAAGACTCTCTGGTAATTACACGATCAACAACTTCTCGAAAAAACCCACCGCTTTTTTCGTGACTTCCAATGAGGAAGTTTAGAACAGCTGATTATAGTCGCATGTGGTTGACGACTGCACTATCCCACATCAAAAATCGATGCGAACATACGGGATCAGGTCGCGTGTGACCTCCGGGCATTCCCTGCTATTCATTGTAGGCTTTTTGGCATTTATCCAAAAGTCTCAAGAAGTTTCCGCGCTGGTGTTTTAGACTCCTGTGCAAGGATATTGACTTCTACTTCAAAATCGTCTCCGCTATGCTTTTGTATCCTACGCGTGCCTAGTGGGGTGCTTCGTCTTAGTTTTCGTTTGCCATCTAGGTGTTCTTTTGTACGGATGCACAAAGGTCTGCCCGTTTAGCCAATATATTCATCTCCGCAGTTCTTACAAGAGGTCAGGTATATCGTACCTGAACTCATGCAATCACCGTCCTTGCCGTAAGGGCAAATTACGCTATTTGTTGTTTCACATAGACGGTCATACAGGCGGTTGCGAACTAATTGGCGACGTAGAGTAGCCGGTGGTATTTCAACTATCGCTACCGATTCCTCTAGACTTGCCCTTTGTTTTAGCCAAGTGTTTCGCGTGGGCGCGTCGTTCTCCTTGTAAACTTATCTCGTAGGGTTACTATTTCGTAGCCATTGGAGATGGCTATTTGCCAAGCCAAGTCGCGCGATTCTTCCTTTAATTCCCTGGTAGTGCACACAGAGGTGGCTGTTCGAAACACGTTTCTCACAATCGCCCTCTTTGTGTGTGAAGGGTGGGAAGAAAGGAAATGAACAAGGATGTTCTTGTTACTTGGCTTTCCATACCACTTTGTCAGGTAACCGCTACTTGATAGGTTTATTTGGACGTCCAAAAACGGAAGCCAGTTTTCTCTCGGTTTCTCCCGGGTGAAGTTTATGTACTCGGACTGCTCGTTCAATAATTCAAAACATTTGTGCATCTCCTGCTGCGTAGAGAAGACGACAAAACAATCATCTACATATCTGCAGTAGAGTAGTGGCCGGAGATCGAAAACAGGGGCTTCTATCTTAGACATAAACACAATGGCAAGGCTTGGTGCCAATCGCTGTCCCATTGCCAACCCCTTATTTGCGCGAAATATTTCCCAGACCATCTGAAAATCGAGCAGTTTAGGCGCTCCTTTAAGAGAGCCATTAGCTGCTGGATGGACAAGCCATGCATATTTATTCTTCTTTCATGTTCAACAAGAAGTTCGAAGATGGCTTGCATTGCGGAGTCATTCGATACGTTGGTGTACAGTGCGGTAACGTCGAAAGACTCCATCACGTACGCGTTATTAAGAGACGAGTTACGTAGTCGTTCTAGGAACATTTGGGTGTTTGTGAGGTGAGCTGGAATGTGTTTAAGCAACTGGGTGAGTATCAGGCTTAAAAACCAGGTTATTCTATCCGTTGGCCCGTCTACACAGCTGATGATCGGTCTAACCTTAAATGATGACGGATTGGTTGACGCATGGTCATCAGGTGATACCAACGTATGTGTTTTAATAAGTAGGTATAGGACGGGACATGTTGGTCTATCGATTTTAAAGTGCGAAATAACCGATGATTTTAAATCCGCAGCCTTTGCCACGCTGACCTATTGATTGTTTAGCTTTCGGTATTGACTTTTATATTCCTTTTCAGAGGATGAGCGATAGAGAGTAGCATCACTAAGATGTTCCTCTGTTATCTCAACATCCAGCTGGTGAGGGATAACTACGAACTCTCCCCCCTTATCACTAACAGACAATCTTATTGTTTTCGAGTTTATTAATTCTCTAATTTCCCGCATGCCACATTTTTTGTGAGGATGTATGGTTAGAGATAAACTTTCTATCGCGGTAGTGATCAAGGGTCTTGAGAACGCCGTCCGAAAACGCGGAATTTTGTGTCAACTCCATCGTTAGGGTCCTGCTGTCTAAAGAACGTTTTTGGGAAAGGAGATGGTGGTAATGTCGCCGCCTCTTGATTTTTTATGGAAGTAAATGGATGCTGAGATATTTGCAAAAATCTGGACAGCAGGTGTATGCGATGGGGCAAAAGATCGATAGAACTAGCTGAGAGGCAGACGAAACGAAGGATCCGCGTGGTGTGGTGGTGAACGCGCTACTCCCCGGAAAGCACAATAGCGCGTTCGTTCACCACCGCATACACCTGCGGTCCGGATTTTCGCAAATATCTCAGCATCATTGAAGTTATATTTCATTAGGAAAAATAATTTCTTTTGTCTAGGTATCACACTGCAGATGGCATCGATGTTTTGAAACCAAAGGGAGCGGTACTACAAGGTGGAATCCTTAAGAGGTTCTCTTGGAATGTCAGTTCAGCAGTTGGAGCGAGTAGTCGAAAAATATCAGCTAGACTGGGAGAGGTTCGCGACTAAGGTGTCTTACAACTCCGTGTCCTTAACAAAGCCTATTTCAGCACAGTCGACGTCATTCACAATCGTCCACTGCCACTTCTTCGGAATCATTCGGCAGTTCGACATCTGGGATTTCCACATCTTCGTCACATGCTGACAGTGAGGTAGAACTTAGTCCTATTCTAATATTTTACTTTTCATTCGGTCCTATTCTCATACCTTGTGTCTTCTTTCCATTCTATCTCAGGTAAGAAGGTAGAAGCTTTTAAGAAGCAGCATTAAAGTGCGTTGGACCATAGAGACGCTGAATACATGAACAAAAGTCAGCAATTGAAAACTCGTCCAAAAATTTTACCTCTGTCCAACCGCGACTTTAATAAATCTGTCACGATCATCGTTCATATCAGTGAAAAAAAGGAGTATAACTTGACTGATTATTCCGAAGATTAAATTATATAGGTCATCTCTTTTGGTATCCAAGGCGAAGTTTTGGGTTTGGATTAGAATTTGAAGGCAATTAACAATGTGAACCCCCCGAAAGAGTAATAGTGCGTTCGTTCCCCACCACAAACACCAGCGGTCCGGAGTTTTGCAAATACCTCAGCATCATTGTGATATCCACATAATTCGCTGAAATAATAATAGTATCAATGATTATGATAATGATGATTAGTGATTTCCACTACCGACTCAGCTCAACAGGGTTCACTGTCAATTTGTGCTTCCTGGATCAATCTCGTTGACGGGTGATCGCTAATGGTACTGATCGATAAAACTAGCTTAGAGGCAAGGGAAACAAAGGACCCGCATGGTGTGGTGGTGAACGCGTTAGCCCCCGGAAAGGGTAATAGCGCGTTCGTTCCCCACCGCAGACACCTTGCAGTCCGGAGTTTTGCAAATATCTCAGCATCGTTGTGGTTGGATCACACATAATGCCCTGTCGTGAAAAATTGTAACAGGCAGTAAATAAGAAGTTAACAATGCGAACATTAGTTGTCTTTCTAAGAACTGTTTAGACTACGAAAACGCATGTTTCTACGATAGCTGTGAACGACGAGGGGGCATCGTTAGCAACGTTGAACATAAGCCTCGACATACCGTCCGAAGGCGCCAACGAAGAGATTTCATCGGTATGACGCTAATCGGGAAGAAGTTCCCATGATTTCCGATCTAAAGACTTAAGAAAGCAACTGGTTATGGCAAATATGAAAATTGTGCTTATGACTTAGTGAAAAGTGTCAATTTATGGAGTCGAAGCTTGTTTAGCGACATCTAGCACTTCTAAAGGTGTTCTATTGTGATGCACACCTCTCATCAGCGATTTCAGTTTTAATTTTAGTTTCAGCTTTATTCAGCTCTTAACACCACTAGGTCAAGAATTCTTATCTTGGCATTTATATAAACCTCCCACGAATATGCAAATGGTCTAACGAACCATCGAACACTTTCTTTTGCGATTTTGTAGAGCGTCAAATTCTTCAACTTCAGGCACTTCCACACCAACAACTGCTACATGCTACTCCACCACTACCTGAAATACCACCACCACCAGCAGGACACGGCCAGAAGCATCAGGATTTATTACGATTCATTCTAGAGAACCACTTAGAAACCTCGTGAGTGTCTATTCGTCCCGTAAAGTTTTTTGCGTAGTTTCAACTGTAAAACACGGCTTTTCCTGTATAGCGCCCGTCAAGAATCTGTTGACTAAGGTTCGAATGGTTACAAAAACTGCTGCGATAAAGGTCTATTCGGCAAAATAGAAAGCCGAAAAGAAACAGCATTACACATGATGCATCTCGGCTGGTTTCACCGTAGACACATGCACAATGCGTGCTGGATATCGTCGCCAATTTGTTAAACGAGTTTAAAACGAAATCGATTTCAGGAAAGTAGTATTTACCACTTAGAGTTATAGGCTGCAGTTCTTAAACACGTCTGGTCAAGTTCTCAAGTCCTATGAAGCGCTCAAATTATAGAGCAATTATCGGGTTTGTCGAGAAACCTTCCCTAGGGTGAACTTGAGCTGCGGTTTATTGGATTCGTGACTATGCATAAATAAATGGATTTTTATTTAAAGAAAAACTTAGATGGCTGCTGTACTATCCAAATAGCACCATAGATATTATGGAAACTAAGTAAAACAAATTTTATTCAAAATTTAATCTATCGTGTTGATGTTGGATTAAGACCTCATTTAACCTTTCAGCGAACTTTTCTAGCCTACGTAGATATCTAATCCACTGTTTTGGATTAGAATTCGAAATCTAAGCCAATATTGTTTTTCATCTAGTATAAATCTGATCCCGGCTTCAGTTAAGTAGCGCATATCTTTATGAATCTCCGATCTTCTTCTTTACCGTAACTGAGAAATAGGTCTTCCGACGGCTGGCGATTACTTCTCGGTCACTACGGTATTTAAGGTGTTCTGAACTTCAACTATTTGTAAAGAAGAGTTTTTGCTATTGCTTCCACCGTATATTTTTTTACAAAATATTTTACTATTTCCGGGGTTATTCATTAGCAGACCTCGTAAAGAATTGAAAACGGAATCCAAATTTTTGAAATCTAAAACGTAAATAGTGGGCGTGTAGAGTGCTGTGGTCGGAGGCGCCGTGGAATACACATGGGATTGATAGCGCACCAGAGGCTCACCGAGCCTTCTATCCTTCCGGGATCGGCAAATTGATAACATACCTATCTGGAAGGATAGCAGCACTGGTTCGATACATCAATAGGCCACCGCAAGCCATTGTAAAGGCCAGATATGCATTCAGTCACCTCCAAACGGTGCTTAATGAAGTCTAATACATGGCATCCCTCAGGGATTGATCAACGCCGAGAGCTTTGTCCTTTCTTTACAACATAAGTCAGCAACTGCTAAAATAACGATTTTTCGGAAGCAACATCGTTTCCTACGGGTAAAATCTCGTTTGTTCTATTGCAACAGTGCTTGAAATACAACGAACGAAAGAAGTTGAACAAATATGTCTCGTGAGCTCCGTATTAGTGGAATTTCGTCTGATGAAATGAGAGAATATGTATCACATAGGCGACGATCTGCAGTTTTGCAGTTTCTATTTCACTTCAAAAAATGCATAATTAGCTGCGACATATTTCTTTGAAGTCCGAGGTGGTTTTTTTTTGTTCGAAAAGCATTGTACGCAATGCATTCCGTCCGTCATATGTTAGACACTGCTGCAGTCCGAATTATACATTTGTATAGCTCGTATGCCTGTATTATTAACTCATCCCTACGTGTCTCTATGGCTTTTTAAATTTCAGAGACGTGTAGTTCGAGTTTTCTTCTGTACGACCTTCATCTCTTTGCTCAGTGACATGCCAAAGCAACAGTATACGTCTTTTTTCGACTGTACAAATTGCAGCTTTGTTTTTTTATTCCTTGCTACTTTAGTGATGAGTACAGTGCTTTGAATACAATGCATAATTTGCATTGTAATGTCTATAGTTTATCAATTGTGCCTTTAGTTCTTACTAGAACATACGACTATTGTGCAATACGTTCCACTTCAGCATATGAGGTTTCACAATGAACATTCATCAAGCTTTGATTGTGTGCGCACAGAGTACCCAAGCATACACAAAAATAACCTATGCTATTTGTTTGTGTTTCTTTCTTTTCTTTTCGACGAAAAGCAACTGCATTAAAGCAGTTCAGCTAGACTCAGTCAGTCAAAATTCAGACATCACATGTGAATCTATCAGTTTTCTATGAATCATTCAAGGGTGTGTAGCTATTGGATACTTGGAATGCACCTCATACAAATCCTCATTAGTTTTGGGACTCCCAGCGTAATCTCGTTTTTCGGAGATTAGCTGGTTTTTTAGAGTCCCAAGGTCAGCCTGGCCGAAGCCTTCCTCAGTTCGTCACACCCAGGCATTCACCACCCTTGTGGACCAGGGGGAGATTTGCCACTATGCAACTAGATTACCACTACCTACCTCATACCACGTGCTATACACCACATCAAGCAAGGCCCTCGCTTTACCTTTATCTAAACCTTTTCATCGTACTAAAGTAACAGTTAGCTATCCCATGGAGTACATAGATATGAAGAGTAACTATACAGAAGCAGCCCACATCAATTGGTAAATTTATATGGGGTTCTAAGACCGGTTCCAGAATTATGAATTGAAACTATGGGAAATAGCAAGAAGTGGCCCACATTAGATAATAGAATAATAGTTATTTGAAAGGTCAACGGCTACAAATACAATGCATGTCAAGAAAAAGTGGGTTAAAAACCTAGAAAGGAACTCTGTTAAAGGCCTGTAGGGATTCTTATTTTGGAGGAATGTTTTCGTTCGAATTTCCCAAACCACAATGTAGAACGTGGAAAGCGAGGAAGTTCTACACGGTTTAAGTTCCAAAGTATTGTTTAAGCTTAGAATCCAAATAATCATGATATAGAAAACATGCAATCCGTTTTCATCAATATCACATTCCCCCAGAACAGAAAACGGAAGTAAACTGTGAGACCAGGGGGATCAGATTTATCAGAGTCCTAGCTTTCCTGCAGCTAAGTCACTGACTATTTCTGACAAATCATCTATTTCATCCCCTCCTCTCCTTTATCACTAGAAGTCCGGAGAACTCCAATAAAGTCTTCATGGATAAATGTTGCGTGGAAGAACGATGCAGCGGTTTCTACTCATTCGAGGAAGAAGCGGAGCAAAATATCATTCGTTTAAGGTCTTACTGTAGATGTCTGAGTAACTGGTCGGTGACCTCCTTGTTGCTTTTAGAACTCCAACATTTCGAAGACGGGTGTTCCTATTCGTCTTTGGTCGACCCAGTTGTTAATCTCTCACGTATGAACTTTGAGTACCATAATGTATGTCAATAGCGCGTTCGAAGGAGGTGTACACTAACGTAGAAAGAAGAACTACGATGCCAGTTTACAACTAACCGGTCTCAATAAGGCGTTCTTATCCACTGAATTCCCTAAAGATATAGAAACAGTTTTTTAATGGAAGTCAATCTAACGAATGATACTCGCTGAGGATCAAAACCGATCGCAACATGAAGCACTCTTTCAAACGAAAATCAGCTGAAGTTTCTTGCATTGAAACGTGTGGTTCGCCGCTGCAAAAGACTAGACCGGATTTCCAAATAACGCTCCACAGTTGTTTCAAAGAGGATGACCTCAAAAATGTGCCTTGTTTTATGCTTTCTGCTCCATTCCTTTCCCATTGTTCTTACGTAAATCGAAGAAGGTATTTAGTGAGAGGTTTCAATGTAGACCATTATCTGTAATACAACTTTTCATGAGAAACAGATTTTGCTCTCCAATGAAGCTAGGAGAAGACTAAATCCACGATTCCCCGCTGGTTCACATACTCTTTCTATCCCCTGGTTTCGTTTGTGATTTTGCAACCCATTATCAGCGTAGTGTTTAACCATTGATCACAATCGAACTAACAAATCGTGGCGCCTAATTCTCTGCGATGGGGCATAGAAAGAATCTCGTTACGAACTAGAAAAGAGGGAATCCGAAGTTCCGACCTACGTCAACGATCAAAAGTCGAAGACGACGTTCCACAAACCAAATAGTCGAAGAGAAGGTGGGCTCGAAAAGTAAGACGTCTGAGTGACAACCAATGGTCAAGAGCCGTTAGCAGCTAGATCTCTTGGGATGTCAAGCGCACAGCCAGAAGGCCATATACCTGATAGTCAGAGTTCTTCGGGAAAAGTCTAGAAGGAAGACATGATGCTCAGCGAGTCCCTAGAGCGAACAAAACCCACTCGTTACTCTTACACGAGACGGAAACGAATGGAAAAATTGCTGGCCCATGACCCTGGCCCACGAGTCTATTCATTGGTCAACGAGATGATATAAATGGTATAAGGTTACTGGTTTTCAACAAAGGCTAATAATTTTCCTATTACTAGACGACTTGGTATGTTGAAAACAGGAGAAAACCATAGAAGACACTTTTAGAGCATCAATCTAGAGGATATATGGCATAAAAGGATAAAGGATAAAGCTCTCGGCGTTCATCAATCCCTGAGGGATGCGCCATGCATTCGACTTCATTAAGCATCGTTGGAGATGATTGAGTGCACATCTGGCTAATACAGTGACTCGCTATGGCCTATCGATGTACCAAGTCAGTGCTCCTATTCTCCCAGACAGGTCTGGTACCAATTTGCCGACTCCAGATGGATGGAAGGCTTAGTGAGCCATGGGCGCCGGGATTGATTCCACGAGTGGCGCCTCCAACCACTGCGCCACATTTACCCTTATACATGGCATACATGTTACTTTTTTGTATGTCACCATGTTCTATCATATAAGCACACTGCTGTCAGCCTTTAAAATTATTTTACGGCTTAGGCCGAGTCAATACTCCGTATTTATTGCATGCACTTACCCCATACTACAACCAAGATTCGCCATACGAATTCGGATTGAAATAACAGCAAATTAACAGTCAAATTACTGATTAATAAACTCATTCGTGAAAAGGGCGAATTTCTGCGTTGAGTATGGAACTTCTCTCAATCGAGGGTAACAGCGGAATATGCGTTGGATAAGCTATCGAGTGATTACAAGGTCCTTCAAAAAACCTCTACAAAGCAAAATAGGGGACCCATAGGAAAGTGCATCATGTAAAATGCGTTTCGCCTCCAATGCGTTAAAGGTGCTCAGCAATTTTCACTTAACGCTTCAGGTGCGATAGATGGCAATACCCAAACAGCTCTTGTGGCTTCTAAGTCGAACAATAACTGGAGCATTCGCACAAATTTCAAAGCGAAATAATTGGGGCAACCTTTGCAGTTACGGGATTTCTCCTCACACTTGCGCTTACATTGTAACTGGTCTGACCAGTACCCTATTAGTTAGTTATGAACTAACTGACAGTAATTCTGCCTTCAAATTATAAATCAGTATTCTCCAAGAGCTCGCAAGCTGCAAAGGCTGGATTTTTATTCAATAGCTCAGAGAATTCATTTTAGTCACCAGTCATATGCATATTCGTCTTCATGCAAACGATGGAATCGTAGCGTCCTGAATAATGAAATAAATGCCGACTGCGGTTTCTACTGTTGTGCAGTTACTAGTTAACGTAGGGAAAACGTCCTTTTCACGAAATCTTCGCAATCACAATGTTTGCACAAGCAGAAATAACTCTGTGATTTCCATGTAGTGGAACTCTTCCTAAAGCACCTATTTTGGCTTGGGAAGAAGACTTATGGAGAAGCGAGTAGTTGCTGTAAGCTATCAAAGAATGACAGGCATCCTAACGGTTTACCGCCTCATCGTGGCTAGGTGTTCCTGGATGTCGGACTACGATGTACAGCGGGGAATTCATCCTCCCGCAAGGTCTCCCAAGCTGAGATGGAGTCCGGCGTGTCCATTAGGAAGCCTAGCTAAAAGTAAACCAATACCAGGATCCACCACCGTCCTGGTATCAAACTAGTCGCATGGTGGCAAATCTTCTTCTAATTCACAAAGGCCGGCGACGGCCTGTGGTAGTGACGACGGCAGACTGGAGCAGACTTTGGCTAGGCTGACCACTATACTGCTACACTACATGGAAACACAGTAGCTAAACCAACAAAACTCCGAAAACTAGAAATTATGCTGCAACCCGCACAACCAGAGGAGGCGGACCGTTCAAGTATCCACGTATCCATGTATCGAAGAATGAATGAGCATGGAACACCTGCAACATTAACTACATGGCTCGCTGTGACGGGTTGCTACTGGGACAATTCACATTCTCATTTTCTGTTCCTCGGACCCAACGGTAGGATTTTACTACAAGATGGTCATACGTACACTTTCCCGCTGGATCTAATTCAAGAGCTCTCGCGTGTAGAGAACGATTGTGGAGCGAAAGCACCGACAGCTCATCCGCTCCCTAAACAGTGAATGATCGCCAATTTCTTCTCGCTGATAATGAACTAGCCAATATCCCGACGAACTTCATGACAACCGATGTCAACCCTTAAATCTAAACTGGAACAAAACTAAAGCTCCCGGGATATCTTCCAAGACTAACAGATGTCATACACTGCTACTTGACTACCATACCCATAAAATTTTGCATTTGAACATTTCGAAAGCAGAAGCTCTTAAAGCTTCCACAGCGCCCTCACCATGTGCTTACAGAGAGCTTCCCTCCACCTCGTGCTCTCATTTTACGCGTTAAACATCCCTATCTCTAAAAGCTTTTTCTCCGTACTGTAAGTGATGGTCAATGGCCAGCTGGATGAATGACTTATCTAAATGTGTAAAAGACAACTTAAAGACGAGAAACATTTCTTTAAGAAAAAACCGCACACTTTAATTTACAGCACATGCAAATACTCTCACCACCGTGATACCTAGAGTGCCCGTGCGGTGATACCTCGAGTGATATAACGTTGAATTACTTAGAAAACAGAAATAAACGAAAATGTGGCGAATACATATAGATATAGTAATTATATTCCAAAATGGTCCATGCCAAAACAGCATAACCCTTTGGATGCAATTGCTATGGTGGCGACAAACGAAAATAAATATGTTAGGCTCCATATCAGAAATTACTGCTAGGAAATTAACTGTATAGATCATCATCATCGTTGCCACCAACAGGAACGCCTGACGGTTGGTTAAGCGCCGATGGCTGTTCACCGGGAAACTTGAAATTATTACCGAAACCACGCTGCTGCTGCAACGTCTGCGCGAACATTTCATACCTGAATTAAATGTAGTGATACAGAAGCACCTCACCAATTGAATTATCACAGGTATTGCGGACCATAGAGTTCTCACTAACACGGATAAACATGAAAGTGAACCACTCGAGTACTTACTTGCGAATATCATTATCCGACACAGATCGCCTAGCGAATTTCATTGCTTCCTCAAAGTGGGCACGGGTAATTTCAGGAACAGGATCATACGCTTCATCTTCCATTAGTTCCTCTCCACGCTGGCGCCGTTCCTGCCGCTCTTTCTCTATGCGAATCTCTTTCTCGATCGACTCACGGATTGCAAGTTTACACGCCCTAAACGTCTATTACTACGTCATCAAACTCAGAACTGTGTATTAAACGCTCATTAAAGTGGCTCATCTATGGAACTGTTGTGGTAAGCATATAGTCTCGCATATTACAAAGATCTGGGTCACTCATATCAGGAAGCATCATGCAAGGACACTTGCCCACCATGCATAATATCGCACATTTATGACACTCAGCAAGTTACTATTCCCGACCAGAACGTGCTACCCAACAGAACGTTGACTAGAACATTAAACTCAGGAACAAAGCTACCGAGTTCTTAGAATGTGCTTGAAATAGAGCTTAAATACGACATAAACCTTCACCTCTGGCAAATTTCTGTAAGGTCAGCACCGGAGAACCCTACAGTGCTCTTCGATAGAAAAGTCATATCAACATCTTTAGCAACCGGTGTTCTTCGGAGATTGGCCTGAAATATTTTTCTGAACTTCATGCTAACTCTTCGTTTAGCAGACCAGTATATGATAATATGATGATTCCACAAGAAATGTACGGGCACTAACTTTGAAGATTTGTAAACGAGATGCTTCATCTGGAAGTGGAATATATATCAATTGATCTAATCGTCCGGGACGAAGAATGGCCGAGTCGATTATGTCAGGTCTACAAACAAAAAGACGTTAGAAAATATATAGAGGATAAATCCTGGTCTACCTATTAGTAGCCCCAATTATAAACACATTTTTCTTCGAATTCATTCCGTCCATTTCAGTTAGGATTTGGTTAATCACTCGGTCAGCCGCACCTCCAGCATCACCAGCTGTTCCTAAAAAGAATAACGAAAAAATGCTTATGCCACAAATGAAAAGTAGGTACTGCAGCTGTTCCAAAAAAAAAGTAAAAAGAAAGGACTACAACGCCAATTGAATGGCTTACCTCCACGGGCCTTTGCAATCGAATCTAATTCATCAAAGAACAAAACACAAGGAGCGGCTGCACGTGCTTTGTCGAAAACGTCGCGTACATTTGCTTCCGACTCTCCAAACCACATTGTTAACAGTTCAGGACCCTATAAGGACTCCATGTTAAACAGTATACTTCAAAAATTAAGAACGAAGTGAAACGTTACCTTAATAGAAATGAAGTTAGCTTGGCACTCATGAGCAATGGCTTTGGCTAGCAACGTTTTACCACATCCAGGAGGTCCATAAAACAAAACACCACGCGATGGCTGCATTCCAAATTTAAGATATTTCTCTGGATGTTCGACAGGATATTGAACCAGCTCTTGTAGTTCTCGCTTAACGTTTTGTAAACCTAAATTGATGCCGCCACTTTGATAAACTACGGTTTAAATGTTCCCAAGCTTGACAATGTATCAGTCCAAAACAACCATTAGACAATTAATCACTCTATATCCTGAACTGTCCCTTTTATTAGAAATGCTAATTTTGCTCACCAGCACAAGAAATTTTTCCCGTTTCAGTTAAACAAAAGACATAAAGCAAAATAACTGAACCATAAAACTCACCGCCGATGTCATCCCATGTGATATTCGGCGTTTCAACAACTGTCTCGCGTAGTGCCGAAGGCGACGATTTTCCCATTGCAAACTAAGACCACAATTGTTGTAAAAATTCTCTTCTTTTGAAAAAGGTCCAAAGCCTTACGCGGAAGTTTTCCATTGAGACAGCAAGTGAGTTGAGGACTTCTGCATCAATTGTGTCATCTTCAAGATCAATAAGCTCCATTTTCTCCCTGATCTGTTGGAGTGCAGCCTCAGAGCAAAGCGAAGCAAGGTCAGCGCCGACATATCCATGACACTCATTGGCGATCTATAAGGCTGTTTCATATTAAAACAGTATTTCAGTGCATATCAATGAACATTGCGAACGCACCTGCTCCAGATCAACATCATCAGCCAGTTTCATATTCTTTGTATGGATACGGAGTATCTCGAGACGACCAACTGCATCAGGAATACCAATATCAATTTCCCTTAAATGATCTGCATTTCTCCTTTAGTGTTTAGAAGGAATATTTCATCACATAAAAATAAAGGAATGAAGCTCTCGGCGCTGATCAATCCCTTAGAGATGCGCAATGCATTCGACTTCATCAAGTATCGTTTGAGGTGATTCAGTCTGTATATATCTGCCCTTCACAATGACTCGCGGTGGCCTACCGATGTATTCAGCCATTGCTGCTATCCTCGCAGACAAGTCTGGTAATAATTTGTAGAGCCCAGAGGCGTGGAAGGTTTGGTGGGACAGTGGCGCGGGAATCGACCTCGTGTGTATTGCAAGGCGCCTCCGACCATTGCGCCACGTGCGCCTATTTCATCACATAAACACAATAAAGAACCTGTCAAAACGACCAAAACGCCTTAAGGCAGCATCGATAGAGTTTGGTCTATTTGTGGCTGCAATAACGACAACATGAGATCTCTGTTTCAGGCCATCCATAAGTGTGAGCAGTTGGGAGACGATGCGACGCTCAACTTCACCATGAGTCTATAATTATATAACAATTATTGCAACCTACTAAATGAATTTTCGTTTGGCATCATTTTAGACGAAAAATAAGCCGGAATCACCTTTTCACGTTTAGGAGCAATAGCGTCAATTTCGTCAATGAACAGAATTGCAGGTGAGTTCTTCTCACATTCTTCAAATGCTTTACGTAAGTTCGACTCCGACTCTCCAGCCAGCTTAGACATGATCTCAGGACCTGAGTAGCCGCAACTAGTAACATGATTAACACTAAACGTTTAACAAAGAAATCAAAGCAAGTTTTACCATTGAGTAAAAAAAAGAATGCTCCTGTCTCGTTAGCTACTGCTCTCGCAATGAGGGTTTTACCCGTCCCTGGAGGACCGAACAAAAGGATTCCTCGAGGAGGCTTAATACCAATAGCCTTGAATAGTTGTGGATGACGGAGAGGAAGCTCAACCATCTCTTTGATCTGAGCCAACTGCTTGCGGACCTGTAGATATATAACCTATCTAAAGGGAACGAAAAAATAAGCCCACAGTAAGAGCGAAACTAAAACTAACTCCACCAATGTCATCGTAGCCCACGTCGTTCATATTTTCTTCCTCTTCCTCACGCTTGATTGCTTCTCCTTCATAATGGATGACTGTGTCCGGTGCAACGATACATGAAGGAGATGGATCTGTTTCAACCACCTAAACTATGACTATTGAGGATTCAGCTGCTGGTAATATTATGAAAATTGGACAGTGAGTGCATCTTAGTTTAAAAAAGCAACAGAAGTACAGCTAGTCAACACTTCCTAAATTTACTTTGTGTTTTATCCACCCAACTTCTCCCACATTTGAAAAGTGCTTCTTTAACACTCATCTCAATAAAGAAGTACTAAGATTACTCCAGAAAGACTCCTTAACGCCCAGAATTGTACCATAGTGATAAAATAACAAGTAGGGGTTACACAAGTTGAAAATCTGCAGATAGAGGACTGGTTCATAACAATTCTTTCGGATTACTAATCATAAACTGCAGTACTTTGAGGTACCAGAAGTACCACTACAACATTATCTTAAGTGCAGATAAGCTACGGCAAATGGTTTGCTCCAAATCAAGAAAATGTGCTTAATAACAGTAGTCTAATAAATTGAAACAGTGAAACAGAATTCACTGTGATCATCCAATGATCACTCAACAGCTAGTTTACACCTCTGAGAACTTATACGCTTAAGAGAAAGTGAAAGAAGGAACACACCTTAAACTCCACTGTGCGCATAGCAGCCTGGACTGTGAATATGTCACCTTTGTGGAGAGGCCTGTATGCTTCAACGAAATAGGGCTTCAAGAAGACTTCGAAGAGATTGCTGAAAAGTATAATATGTCTGCCCAGAAAAGAACTGGCACGGGAACCTCATACCCAGTAAGCCCTTCAACAGTATCATCGATTGGCAGAACGTGAACGCGCTTTCCATAACCGATGTTCGGAGCTGCCGTTACGCTACAACAATGCTTCAACGCTAGATATGATTTCGTGGTAAACTCAACGTTATCTCAACTCCAAGGTGATTTACCTTACGACGTCTCCAAGACGGACGCGCAGATTATGACGAACCACGCGGTTCATTTTAATTTTGTCGTTAGAGCAGTTATCATCGGCGAGAACAATCGCAACAGTCTCCTTTCTCTTCTTACCCTGGTAATAAAGGAATGTGAAACTAGGACGTAACATGAGCCACTACTCTTTTCTTAAATAAGTATAATAATCTCCCTCACTCCGAAAACTACGCCCTACCTCTTAGGTTAAAGAATACTCCAGAAAACCTTAGGCGTTCGCAAAACAGTTACCTTTAACACGACAGTATCACCTCGGAAAAGAGCTAGTTCGTCCATCTTCGCCTGGCTGAGTGCAATGATGGAATTGTCGTCCTTGTCACTCTGGTCAACGATAAGCCGATTCGGCTTCACTTTCTCCTTCAGGATAGCCGTGGCTAGCGCTTCGTTCTTCTTTTCCTTCTCATCTTTATTACTGCAAGGTAGAATAATAAAGAGATCGGAACACTTCTAGACCGCACAGTTCCAACCGAACTACAGAACAGCAACTCACACAGGTACTGAAGCCATGACGGAAACAGTAGTAGTTTCGGGAAAGTACGAACCTCACCGGTAACGAACGTAGAGATGGGTCTGTTCGAATGATGACATTCACCGGTAGGACACGTACACGCCGCAAAAGTGAACTGGAATACTACGGTACTTCTTGTACTAGAGCAAGGCACTGCACTAGAGCATATTCAATCAGTCTCATTAAAGTGGTTGCGAGTGATTTTGTGAATTGTAATCCACTTTCCGCGTTCCATATAACCCAGTAAATCATTGAGTACTTTGAATGAGCACTATTGAGACCTCTATTCCCGTCATTGCTACTCAGAAGCTCACGTTTGCTCGACCAACCAGACATGTATCACTTTTACGACGAGGCCCTTTACTTTTTAACGTCCTTGACTTTAAAACGGCCACCTAGAGGTTGCCGTACTTTGTTTTGATATACGTTTGCTTTCAGCTGGGCTTCCACGGAACTCATTTTCGGTGTGGATGACCTTGCTGGAATGACGACAGAGAGCTGGGCAAAGTCTATCCCAGCTCGACATTTGAGTACACATTTCAGCTGGGATTAGGAGGTAGACCACTAAACACGGAAGGTCTCCCATAAATTTCAAATGGCTGTTGTGAGGAAATTCGCCACTGTATTAGAGAGAAGAGGACCAGATGAGGAAATCTGTCCGAATAGTATGCTGTCTTCAAAAATGATGAAGCTTGGTTTGATTAAGGAAAGTACACAGATGGAAACAGTTTCTGTAGATATACATATAGAATACAAGAATAGTCGTTATAAAAAATTCGCTTCTCCGATAGCACCGCTACCGTTCGATACGTTCTACTGGTAGAACGATAAAGGATAGAGCGTTCGGGTTTGATCAATCCTGAGGACTTCAGGCCATACATTCGAACCTCATCAAGTATCGTAAGAGGTGACTGAATGCATATCTAGCTCATAGAATGTGACTTGTGATGGCCTGGCGATGCATCGAGTCAGTGCTGCTATCCCCATACAAGTCTGGTATCAATTTTCCGAACCCGTAGAGTGGAAGGCTTGGTGAGCCCGAGTGCTGGATTGAACGAATAACCACGTGTGTATTGCATGGTACCTCTAATTACTACGCTGCACCTGCCCCGTGAGTCCTATGCCAGATTGAATCCTGTCTTCACATTCATTTTTTGTTTCGGGACATTTAGCAACAATACCCTGGGGCGTGTGCAGCGCAGTGGTCGGAGGCGCTTTGCAATACACATATGGTCGATCTCTGCGCCCCAGGCTCACCAAGCCTTCCATCCCTCCGGAGTTGGCAAATTGGTACCCGACTATTCTGGGAGTATAGCAGCATTGACTCAATACAACGGCAGGCCACCGCGAGTCATTGTAAAAGCCAGATATGCATTCAATTACCTCCAAACAATTCTTAATGAAGTCGAATGCATGGCGCATCCCTAAGGGATTTATCAATGCTGGGAGCTTTATCCTTTATCTTTATACTTGTTAGTGACAACAAAATCATAGCTACGGTGTAAGAATGACAGCATTTAACTAAATCATGCTCTACCATCCCTGCTGCGTTTTTCAATCCTTTTGTTACCCACTACTGTAGAGGTTTTGCGGCTTATGGGTTTTCTTTGAGCTACTCGACAGATAGATTAAAGATAAAGGGCAACCATCATCGATTGGACATTCCTTCTTATTTGGGCATTTAGCAGAATTTTTATCCATGCACCATGACACGTGTTCAAGAGAAAAGTCATTTGAAACTCACACCATAATACCAGCTTTGTTGCTTGCAGAAATACGTTTTTGCAGAAAGGTCTCGTTGGTGAAGATGGAGCTCCTAGAGAGTCTGGACATCCGAGACCCACAGTATATAACGAAAGACCTGGAGCTCTTGTAGGAAAAAGCCTAACAACTGAAAGAGAACTGAGAGAAGGACCATCGAGAGACGAAAAGATAGGTAGATCAATGGGAGAAAGCAAAATGCCTTGATTACATGGTTGAAATGGCTTAACAGGACCTTGGGAGAAGGCCCGATGGAAAAACAAAGGCCACCTGGAGAGCAAAGACTCAAAAAGAGAGAATTTGGACACGATTTTACTCGTTAGTCCTGGCACGTAGCCAGCAATGCAAGCAGACAAATTTGGGAACTATTAAAGCGCTGCGGCAGGTGTTCCTGGATACGGTAAGCAATAGTGAAGACATTCGAAGGAAGGAACGGCGGTTTCCAGTTATGCGTATACAATCTCAGAACATTGCTCAGTAGCCAGGAACCCAAAATGTAGCCTTATTTTTTGTGTGCGATGAACTGTCGTATTCTTGAACGACTTTAAGAATGAGTGAACGTAAAACCATTGAGGGAAAGAAGAAGAACCATAGATAATAAATAGAATGCGTTAAGAAAATGCCATTATATTAATAGCGTAATGGCCTGCCATGGTGCCAGGGACAGAGGGACGTTTTATTAAAAATAGATCTTTTTTCTCCGCCCACATAAAGTAATGACCGTCGCTCCTTGGGTCAGCAATGTTTTGAAAGGAAAGCCTAAAATTCTTAATATGTAAGCTAGGAATCCCGAATTAAACAAGAAAAAACAGTCAAGGACACATAAGCCAAATTGTATTTCAATAAAAGTGCATTTCTGTTAATATGAAAGCTAATTGCTAAGTAACAGTAAACAACGCTATCGTCACTATTGTTCATTGATGCACCCGTCTTGCCGACCTTCGTGCAATACATTATAAGGAAGAGGACGGAACTCAGCGGATAAAATACTCGACTAAAGTTGCCTAGATGTCCGTAAAACGCTGAAGCTCAACGGATTTACCGATCGAAGAAGAAACGACATGCCAGCCGACTTTGACTGACTATAGAAATGTGCAGGCTAAACTTACCAGTTGATTGACTCTTCTGTGAAATCCAACTACAAAAAACGTTTGCAATAAAGTAAAAAATCCATGGGGAAAGAACTGACTCAAACACGGAATACGTCACTACGCCAATACTACGCCAACATGGAATCGTACGATCTACGGGCAACAGCGAGTTCACGTTCGAACTAGCAAAACAATGCAGACAGGCGATGAAGAAAGGTCTTAAAGAGAGATGAGAAATGTTTCCAACAGCCATGTTCTGCTGCCATTATTTAAAATAAAAGAGAATGGACAGATGGTCCCATCGATCCTCCCTTCCAAAATCCGACATGCTACTTTATCGTCGAAGAATTGAACAGCACCTAGGCTAGGTGGGATAAGGCTTGCACATACACCCGTAGAACCGTCCGTCTATCCTCATCAACTAACTAGCTTGGCTGTTCACACCCTACCTGTCAGTACACAAGGTACAATGGTAGATAAGTAAGACACTGTTGTTGTTCAAGGGTGGTAACCTCCACGATATAGCAAACTACCAGACAATCTGTTTGCTATCTGTCCTCCACAAATTCCGCACTCGCATCATCCTATACAGGATTGGCAGAACACTGGTCGAAGGACAGTCATGTGAGAAAGCAGGATTGCGAAAACGATTCGGTACGATGGCTGACATCCATATGACAACAGGACTCAACGAAGTATCGCGATAGTACAAGATACCACTGTTTCTCACCTTCATCGATTTAAGCAACGGTTTTGACTCCTTTTTATTTACTACCTACTATAATTTTTAACGACAAGGTATCATATGAAATAGAACTAAGATGATGCTGAGATGTTTGCAAAATTCCGGACCGCAGGTGTCTGAGGTGCTGAACGAACGCGCTATTGTTCCTTCCGGGGAGTAGCGCGTTCACCACCACACCATGTGGGTCCTTGGTTTCGCCTGTCTCTCAGCAAGTTCTATTGATTGGCTCCATCAGCAATCACCCGTCATCGGAATTGATCTGGAAAGCCCAAATAGGCATGGAACCCAGTTAAGCTGAGGCCATAGTTATAAACACAGAACTAGTTGAGAGGCAGGCGAAACGAAGGACCCGCATGGTGTGGTGGTGAACGCGTTACTCCCCGGAAGGAACAATAGTGCGTTCGTTCCCCACTGCAGACACCTGCTGTCCGGAATTTTGCAAGTATCTCAGCATCATCTTGGTTTTGACTCTGTTGATATTGAAGGAGTCATGGAAACAAAGGACAACCAGTACGTCCCTACTCGGTGTATAAAGGTTCTTCGTGGGTTACACAAGAATTTCGCAACCAGAATATCGTCATTGTGCAACGATGTTAACATCGTCAGAAGAGGTGTTACGTAAGGCGATATCACCTAGCGGAAATTATTAACTGCCACCTTTCACAACGTCGTGCCAATATTGGAATCAGACAATGTGGAAGTGAAGATCGATGACTAGCAATTGCACCATCTTCATTTTGCTGATGGCAGAGTCCTTATAACACCAAGTATTAGCCATGAGGTACGAATGCCAGCTGACTTCGATAAACGGTTGTAGAAAGATTTGTCTTCACCTAAATCCCACAAAAATGATGTCCATGAGGAACTGATTGGTTACGGGTGCAGGGAGAAATGAGCGGTTTGGAGAGCTTTGAAGAGCACGAAGACGCAGTGAGGAGAACAAAGGACACCCAACTTCGTGCCCACCTTTCGACTCGACGATTCTTCCTGCCTTAACATATTCGTCAGAGATTCCGTTCGCTACGAAGGCAGCACGAAAGATCACTTATAGAGCGTGTAGTCAATAGGACGGTGCTAGGAGTACCCTATACCACGCAAGTGAGAGAAGGAATGGGAAATTCCAGCCTGCGTCAACTATTAAGAATCAAAGATGCCGTTCTATACGCAAATTTTGAAAGTCAGGTTGGGTCGCACCGTCGAATACTTAAAAGGTTAAAGGATAAAGCTATCGGCGTTGATAAATCACTGAGTAATGCGACGTGTATTCGACTTCATTAAGCATCGTTTGGAGGTGATTTAATGCAAACCTGATTTGACAATGACTCGCTGTGGCCTATCGATGTATCGAGCCAGTGCTGTTATCCTTCCAGGCAAGTCTGGTACCAATTTGCCGAACCCGTAGAGTGGAAGGCTTGGGGAGCCATGGGCACGCGGATCGATCCCACGTGTGTGCCGCTGTGGCGCCTCCAACCACTGCGCCACACGCGTTCATTCCTGAATGTATACCTCTTACTATACTTGATACTTGTTACTTGAACGGCCCGTCCACACTAGTTATGCGGGCCCCAGCATAATCACAATTTATCGGAGATTTGCTGGTTAAGCCATTGTGGTCCTCTGGAATCCCGAGAACAGCTTGGCCAAAGTTTGCCTTAGTTCTTCACCATGACAAGCAGTCGCAGCTCTTGTAAATCAGAGGGAGATTTGCCACCGTGCGACTTTGATACCAGGACAGTGGTGGACCCTGGTATTGGTTTACTCTTCGCAGGCTTTCTGATGGAAATGCCGGACTCCTTCTCGGCTTCGGAGACCCTGTGGGGGGCTAATCCACCCGCTATACATCGCAGTCCGACACCCAGGAATACCTCCCAGCCACGATGAGGCGGTAAACCGTTGGGAGGTATCTCTTACCATACCCATAGAAAAAGGGGTTCCACAGGGCCACACAATATAGCCAAAACTGTTCAGTGCTGCACTGTAGTGGATAATGAAGTCACTTGATTGGGATGGGAAAGGTATACGTATTGACGGAAAATTCCTATCAAACCTTCGTTTTGCCGACGACATTGTCATCTTCTCAAGAAGAACTAGCGAAGAAGAGAGGTGATCAACGAGCTCAAGGAAGTGGGGGAAAAAGATCGGACATCGCATAAATCGAAAAAAGACCCAGTTCATAAAAAACCCATGGTACGAAGGTGAAAAAATTAAATTGGATGGCTCTCTGATTGCAGAGACCACCTCAAACGTCCACCTTGGGCGATCGATGAACATGGAAAGCAACATGAAGGAGGAACTAGATAGAAGAAGGAGAGCGGCTTGGGTCACATTCGGGTCGCTCAAAGAAGCCACCGACCAACTGAAGGACCCGAAAATTCGCGCTCATGTTTTCAATTCTACGGTACTCTCCACGCTCTGTCATGCTGCAGAGGCGTGGGTTGACACCTCAATCACGTCAAGAATGCTTCGCACTACTCACAGAGCGCTTGAGCGATGTCTTCTGAAACATAACCGACACTCTCAATATCCAGCCGGAATGCAAAGCTCTGATCTTCGAAATCTACCGTATCTTCGAGATCCAGGAGGGTGTTCGTAAACAATGTTAATCGGCTGTACCCGCAGCTGCTGTTATTTTACAGATCATGATATGGGATTTCCACGCGCCACCATGATCGAACAAATCCACCACCATTAACAACAATTGCGAGGGAAAGAAACGAATGGAAAATGTGCTGGGGTCCGCAAAACTCGTGAAGACGCACCATCCAAGTATCCAAGTGCCCTGAGTAGCTCAGAAATCGCTTGCATTGCGGAGTCATTCGTTACGTTAGCATAAAATAATAAAACATTGAACTACCCCATTACATGTGTACAGTTTGGTTGTACTGAATAAGCATCACCTTTATCACCTACATCACCTGTAGTCCCGTTGATCGTCGAGTGACTCGAGCGGGCGCCGGTAAATCATCCATTTTTCCCTGACACGTGCAAGAGTAGTCCAGTGGGTTCTGCTCGCTCTAGGGACTCGTCGAACATCATATCTTTCTTCAAGGCTCTTTGTGAAGAAATTTGACCATCGAGTCGGTGGTCTTCCTGCAGCACGTTTGATATCCCGAAGACTCCAGTCATTAACGGCTCTTGTCCATCGGTTGTCATTCATATGCATTACGTGTCCGGCCCACTTTATCTTCGACTGTTTGGCGATCAAAAATGCATCTTCGGTTTTTGATCGTTGACCCGGATCGGAGCTACGGATCCCATTCCTTACTTATGTGGAACGGGATACACCTAGCATCGTCCTTTCGACTGCGCGTTCAATAACACTAAGTGACCTTTCATCCTGCTTAGACAGCCACCAAGTTTCTGACGCATACGTAAGGACAGGAAGTAGGGTTGAGTCGAAGACGTGGGAACGGAGTCGCGTGTTTCTTGTGCTCTTCACTATATCTTCGATGCTCTTGAAAGCTCCCCAAGCTGCTCGTTTCCTTCTACTAAGCTCTGGAGCTAAGCCGTTCATCATACTGATTTCTCGACCTAGATAGACATAACTGGAACATTCGGGGATAATCGTTCCGTTGAGCGTGAATGGGGCATGCGAAAGCAATCCGTTCTTCATGGACATCGTTTTTGTGAGATCTAGTCGAAGATTATTCTTTCCACAGGCTTTATCAAAGTTAGCAAGCACACGTTCCGCCTGGCTAATGTTCGGTGTTATAATGAAGATGTCACCACCAAAGCGAAGATGATATGACTGGCGACCATCGATTTTCACTCCCATATTGTACACTCCCATTCCAATGTTCGCATGACGTTCTCGAGAGTGGCGGTAAATAATTTTGGCGAGATGGTATCGCCGTGCCTAATCACTCTTCTAACGTCAATGTTAATATCGTTGTAAAATGGTGATATCTTCCTTGTGGATTTTTTGTACGTCTCACGAAGAATCTTTCTGTACTGAGTAGGGACTCCTTGACTACCAAGGGCTTCCATGACTGCTGCTATCTCAATTGAATCAAAGGCCTTCTGTAAATCGATGAAAGTGAGACACAGCGGTCACTTGTACTCTTGCGCTACTTCAACGAGCCTTGTTATTGTGTGGATATGGCCCATCATACTATATCCTTTTCGAAACCCTGCTTGCTCACATGGCTCTCCTTCGCCCAGTGCTCTGTCAATCCTGTTTAGGACGACTCAAGTGAAAAGTTTGTAGACGACAGACAGCAAACGGATCGGGCGATAGTTGCATATATCGTACGTCACCCTTGAACAATAACTCGGTCGTGCTGGTCTTCCACTAAGGAGGGACCTTGAATTCAGACAGGTAACGTGTGAAGAGCCGAGACAGTGTGTTTACGAGGACTGGCGGAAGCTTCTTCAGGTGTTCTGATCTTATCCTGTCCGGACCTGGTGCTGTTTGATTTTTCACCAACGAAATGATATATCGGAATTCGGAAGATGGAACTGGTGGTACAACGTATCAATCCTCCTTTATTTCATATGGACGTGGCTATCGAATAGATCTGAGTACTATTCGTGAATGATTTTCTCCATTGCCTTTCTGGAAGCTATAACTGTTCCGTCTGGGCGCCGGAGTGCAATCGTTTTGGTCTTGTAATTGGCGAAGCTTCGGTGGCCTTTGCGAACGCCTTTCCCAGCCTCTGCAGCTTCGACCATTACTGATGCTCTTCTCTCTTCAAGATCTTCTTTTATCGCCTGTCTGCATTGTTTTGCAAGTTCGGACTTAGTTCGCGGTTGCCTGCAGCTCGTGCGATTCCACGCTGGCGTATCAGCTCGAGAGTTGTGTTTCTGGAGATAAACGTCTCTTGGATCTTCGGACTCTCAGCTTTCATAGCGCTAACGTGAAGATGTTGAATGAACCGATCGTATTCCTCGTCGATATTATCGACAATGGCATCTTCCCAACAGCCGACTAATGAATTGAATAAGTCCCAGTTTGCGGTGGTTCTGGAACTTCGGTTTTTTAATTTAGCAGCTTTTTCTCTTTTCCGCGAGAAGTAGAATCTTGCACGAAGGAGGCGATGGTCTGATCATGTGTAGAATTTTGGGATAACAGCGACATTGGTTAGACAAAACTTGTTTACTATGATGTGGTCTATTTCGTAATGGTACTCTGCATTGGGAGACTCCTACGTCCAGCGTTGAGGGTGGGGCTTCTGGAATCACGAGTTACTATGGATGGTCTCGGTCGCCATTATAAACTATGAAAAGCGCTCACCATGCTCGTTCCTCTCCAATCCATTGGTCCCAATGTGACATTCTTAAGACGTTCTTCCTCGTCTAATCTTGGCGTTGAAATCTCTAATGATGGCCTTGAATGTATGGTCTTCTCTGTAGAAGTTCTCCAATTCCACATAAAACGCTTCGACTTCTTCTTCGTTATAGTTTGATGTCGACGCACAAACGACGAAGATTGTTAGAGCCGGTATTGATCCACATCTTTTTAATCGTAAACGTCCGATTCGGGTTGTAAGTTGTTCCAATGAATTGATTTTCATGGACAAACTCCTGTTGACGAGATCGCCGAAGCCGCCGACACCTCTACTGGTGCATGTTCCGAAAAACAGTTCTTCTCCGGTGTCACAGACGGCGTTGAATGGGTGGCGTCGTTTCGTCTCGGCCAGGCCGATGACGTCGTACCTTATCCTTCTTGCTTGCATGAGCAAGTCTTCTATCGAGGACTCGGATGCAAGTGTACGTGCATTGTAGGCACAGATCGTCACCATAGTTCTTCGTGATCCAGGCAGCTTCCATTAGTCCTGAGATTTTAGCAACCTCTCCATACTCGTCCTACCTAACGCTGCGAAATTGGGGGCTCTTTCGGGGTCAGAGGAATGAGGCCCGTTTTTTTTACTGTGTTTAGCATTTTTGATACCCACGTATACCTTGCTGGGCTCTGAACGTAGGCGCCGGGTATACTCACGGGTAGCTTGCCAGGCTCTCCCAGAGTGGATATGGAGCGTATTTGTTGAACGCGACTCCTAACCGCCTCCCATATACTTCCCTGTCACTTGATTGCGGGCTTTTGGCTGAATTGACTTGTAGAATACAATCCTCATAAGCAAGAACGCACCCACACACGCATGCATGAATACGCCTAGCAAACACAGCAAGTATGTGCCAAATGAGCGCAGCAGAAACATGGAGTCCATCCCCTGGATCCACCTGCGTCTCAGGGAAGCAAAACTCGCTTTTGGTCCGCGATTAGCCCTCTGTCCACCACTTGGGGACGCGCCACGTAACCTCGAGACTAAGGGAGATCCGTAGCTGGATAAGTATGAGTTTAAGAGTCATGTTACCCTATCCGTTGGTCCACCTTTGCTGCTTCTGATGACTCTAGCTTCAAACCTTGATGGATCGTCGGACGCAATATCCGATTAGATTCAGTAAGAGGCAACATTAGGGCCGAAAGGACTTGGCAGTTTGAGAAATGAATAGTGAATTAAATGATGGGAAAGGGAGTGCTAAGTAACTTATGATCCAAAGCAGTCTAGAGCAATCCGTGCGTTTAAAACCTTAGAGTCAAGGATTATCATAAGCACTGCATTTATCATATTTTTCAGGCTTATTGGGTAGGTTTTCTAGTCATTCCAAGCCTCACATCTAGCAACGTAACGACCACTTAGAGCGAAATGAAACCATGTGAGGTGTAAAATCTCTCGAAATGTCTTGTTTTCTTTCAAAACATTGTTTATCCCAGACACGATTGGCAATTCCAAGCAATGTCGTTTTTATTCCTCCTCTTTCAGAAAAGTGTTTGCTAAATTTTGACGCCCAGATCTGTTTTATATAATTGTTCAGCCTCTAGAAAGCTGAATAAAAAGTATGGAACTAAGCTACTTTAAAATTTAATTAATAGAGTACTGTTCGCAATTGAATTCTTGAAATTAACTATCCATAAAGTCTTTGACTTTATGTTTTCTGCCTATTACTTTTTCTTAATAGATTATGCGCTGTTATCACCGTTAGGGCAAAAAACAGATGCAGAGAAAGGCAAGCAAGAGATTCAACGGTTCAGTAGGTAACACGAGAGCCGCCGGAAAGGGTAATCGCGGGTTCGAAGCTTGCCTAGGGTTCCGAGTTTTGCAAATATCTCAGCGCCTGTCGTTTTGGATTTTTCCAGAAGCCATAGATCTCGTTATTATCTTTCAGATTTTCATTTTTCTGTTTGTACTGCTGAAGCGTTTGACCTAGTAAGTTGCATATTAGTGCACCCTTCTAGGCTCTGAAGAAGGCGATTTTGTCGAAACGTCAGCTACGGTTGTTGTATGTGTGTTATTATATGGAAGTAAATGTGTACTGGTTAACAAACCTCGTGATTGCTGAGAAAGACAACGACAGATTTATAATCCCATGCCGAGGTTAGTAGAAACTCGATCTTGGGAACTATCTCAGCATCATTGTAATTCTACTCATAAAACGTTTACCTTCTTAACGCTTTTCTATTCCTTGTAATCTCTTTCGCAGATGTGGTTATATGTGAAGAGTTCTTTGAGTTCCCGCCACTTGAAATATTTTGGATGCATACGTTGAATGGGTAGAGCTAAAATAACGGCTGGAGGTCGCCCGAAAAAAAAAACTTTGCAACACCTGGCGGCCCGCTTCCCCATCATATGTCGCGACTCACCACTAATAAACCTGGTGTGATAAATTGATACAGAACTATATTTGAGTGTTGGATCTTTTCATGCACAGTATTCTACATCGTACCCAGTTAAAACGATAAAGCTCTTGGCGTTGGTCACCCCCTGAGAGAATGCTCCATGCATTCGATTCACCAAACATCGTTTGGAGGTGGTTGAATGTACATCTAACCTTTACAGTGACTCGCAGTGGCCTACCGATGCATCGAGCCAGGGTTGTTATCCTCCCAGAAATAGTCTGGTACCGATTTGCCGACTCCGGGAGGATGGAGGGCATGGTGGACCATAGGCATGTGGATCGATTCCACGTGTGTGTAGCAGGGCGCCTCCGACCACTGCGCTACGCGCGCCCTTATCGTACCCAGTTAGAGGAATCATATTCTCATCCACAGTCAACGGTGTGATCTTCCTTTCATCTCGCAACCTCATTGAAAACTGTTGTCCCTCTTTAAAAAAGTCATTTATCCTGCGAACGAACACAGACGTTGTCCGTCATTGAATTTAGGCAGTAACTTATCGATAATATATTTTGGTCCTTCAAACAATTTGTGTCTTCACGCACTCTCAGAGTGTTTACAATTCATGCTCGTAAAATGTACGACATAGAACCTGATAAGAACTACAGATTCAACTGGTACTAAACGAAATAATATTTCTGAAGGCCGACCTTCATTTAACCTCATCATGAATAATTATTGTTTTATTTTAGTGCTGAGCGCCTGTGAACACAATCACCTCTGCCTTGAATATGTCGAAGGCGCCGAAGCATTGGCCACGGGAATGTTTTGTAATGGCCTCGTGTAAGCACATGAACAGAACAAAGTGCCGTAGGTTCACATCTGTTTATATGAATATGAACGCTTCGATACCAAACCATACCAGAGGGCAATCAGCAAAACGAATCTGTTTATCGCTTTGTGTTTCCCTTGTATCGACGTCTAACGTCTCTTATAGGTATGGTACTTTTTATGTGAGGGCAAACACTCTTTAGGAACCATTTTTGCTTTATCGACTAACCAATTTCGTAGTATTTCTGTGTGACAACGATGATTTTTCAAAACTCCGATTGTTTACGTTTGAGCGAAGAAGTGTACCAGGTAAGTGCAGTAATCGTTCTCCGCATCCCCTCATTCCGGTGCTTCTGCAGTAGTGAATACGAGAGCAGCAGTGCAGAGATCGGCACGCTTTACGCCGGCTGCCCTCGGTTGTGATGTGGACCGTCCGCGTGGCATTGTAAACCCCGTGATGTTCTCTCTCCGTCCGTCCAACTGGAGGAGCCGAATCATTATGCGGAACATTACGCCAGCGGAGTTGGCTCGGCGCTCTGCACTTCGTAGCATTGTCACCCAATATTTGTACTCCTCATTTAAGCGCGTAGGAATCACAAAAAACGCGGTCACAATGTATTCTTCAGCTCTTTCATTTCCCTATATCGATTGATGGTATCTTTAAAAATTGGCCGCCATTTAACTTCGACATAAATAACCAATATTTTATTAGATTTATAAGCCAACCTTAAGATGTGACAAATGTTTTTCGGCTAACGTTTCAGCGCTTCAGCGTTCTTCAAAGCTGTGATGATTCCAATCGATTGTCTCCAGTAGTTTATCCTCACAATGTAAGTCTTCGTAGTCGTATCGAGTAGAATTTTCTGGAGTAGAACACCGCTCGAGTGAGGTGTTTCTCGGATAGACTCTTTGGCATTAGATAAAGAGCCGTCATGGCAGCTCTGGCGCTAAAGGCTCTGGAGAGGGAGACGGTGCCGAAACCTTAACCGAAAAACATTTATGGCAACCTCTTGTAGGTCCGTCAATCTAAGGAAATATCGATTACCTGTTTGCAGTGTCCAATGTTCTGGAATGTGATGGTGTTTCCTTTACGCCGCCAACATTTTTCATCCACCAACGAAAGCGCATGTGACGAAGTGCAATGACGCGTCACTCACACGCCGTTTATTTTCGGAAGCGCTGCCATCCTCTGCTATCACCCATTTTTTTAAATCATGCCAACTATGCAGATCTCTAGGTGTACTGAATATACGAGTATAAGCGACGTTCTCTTTTATGATCTGGGTTTAAAGACCTATACACTTAATGACCTTTGTAACGGTTATTATTATTTTTATTTTGTTTCATTTTGATCCGTCTCTATATCTACTTATTCGTGATACCAGCACTTCTCATATCCAATTCGTTTCCTCGCATCCATCGTCCACGAAGTTCTTCCAACTTTTACGTGTGGCTTCGGCTGCTGCTTGAGGATTTTCATTCCATCTAGAATGTCGCAGAATGTTGGTCGAGCAATTCTCCGTGGAGTTCTGAGATGGCCGGGATGGCTCGTTCCCAACTGGATTGCAGATAGTGATTTTTTCTCCCAGAGAAGTCCGGTACAAATTTCCGGATCCCGGAGGGATGAGAAGCTTGGTTTAAGCTCGGAGCGGAATCGAACTAGCACCATGCTCGTGATAACGGACATCATTACCACTGTGCTATCCGCCTCATGTGACGGTTATTTATATGTATTAACTTGCACACTCTGATTACCGAAGTGGAACAGGGTTCCTTATATCTCGAAAGTCTCTTTTTCCCTTTGAAAGTATTACCGAAGTATAAACCAGAATCCAACGAACACAAGGTCGTGTGCAACTTCGCTAAATGAAACGTTGTTTTTCGCTTTCAGTCTCTCCGTGAAAAAATCCGATAATGACTTGCGGATATCTTTCACAATCATTGAAACAGAATGAATAGTAGAATCATGGTAGAAGTAGGAAACATGCGTGTTTCGTCCATTTCTCACCTTGTTGACGCGTCTGAAAGCTTACCTCGGAAGTACTTCTTCCTTTTACTGCTCAGTGCTTTCTCATGACGACCAGCGACGATGTGGATGAACAACATGGTGGCGACTAGCAGTAGATGACCATTAGGCATGCAGAACTGAGTTCTCAAGTGAATCAGTGTTCCAGGTAAGATGTACACCGTGCAGTTGTTTTTTCTTATTCGCGATTTATCTATGTCGATCTCTCGCAGTGGTTTCTTGGAGGATGCTTTCGCTACCGTCGTGGGAGTGTCTAATCCTGGTATCCCTCATAGAGCAAGAGGCCGATATATTTGCGCACAACATGTATATATGTACATGTATACCTCATGTATCTCATACAAATCTGCTCAGTCATGTTCATCTATGGACAGTCTTAAATTGCGATACAGACTATTTCGCTTCATCGATCCCGCAGTGACGCGCTCTGATCAGTGAAGTTTCTCGAAAGTCTTATGATTCCGACGTTACTGAACTGTAGGCACACGCCATAGTAAGCCGTGACGGGAAGTCAAAAAAATTGTGCACTGGGAGTTAGGTGTGTTAACTGATCAATTACTTTACGAGAAAACCCGAACGTGGTCCTTTCTACCGTCGTTCCTATGTCCATTTAACTTCCTTGTTTATGTAAGACGCTTTTCCAAAGAACCATCCTATTCGTTTTTTTCTAATTTAGTCATAGTCATTATAAGGAGTGGGTTTTTTCCAAATTTTTTCGTAGTACTATCCCTCTTAACTTCATTGGGCTCTTTGAGAGTGACCTCCGTTTCACTGGTACTTCTCAAAAAGGTGACGGTGTTTCCGCAAAAGCGAATATTTCAAAGGGATTCAAACTTTCGGTCCCATTCAAAACCTTTTCTTAGAAAAATTAGCAAGAGTCGATGGAAAAACTGTATTTTCTCAGGGCATCTGCAATAACTATCGGATATGTGTAATCCTTCTGGCCAACGATCTCTAATGAAATACCATCCATTTCGATGGTGTCGAAAACTTTTTCTTGGTAGAATTCAACGAAAAGTAGAATGTGAAAATGGTGGTGTTTACGAGGGCCTTCTAGATCCATCGGTTTCTAGGACGCTTCTGAAGTCCTTTTCTCATATCTCTTGAGAGGAATACATGTAACTTCGCAGATTTAAGTAGTTGAAGAAGTGTTAACTATGGTGTTGCTTGGTCCTGAAATTGCTCAGAGAGAAGAATCAGAAGTAGTACTCCCCAGTAAGAATTTGACGCTTTGGACGGATATTGTGGAACGGAAGAGATTTGAGCGGAAACTTTTCGTCACTAACACGGTGGAGGTGCTGGACATTTGAATGGTCGTTCGAAGCTGTTTGCGAGACATTTTGTCACATTAGTGAAAGATCGCGCGACATTTCCTTTGAGTTCAAGGTTTTTTTGTCCGTTTGCACTTCTACAATTTTTGCAGCGATCTGTCTTCCTCTCGTCTCACATGCATTAGAAACCATGCTAGAGGCAGTAGATTTGGATCTTGCTTCATTTGTCTATTTTTTCCTAAGAAAGAAACTCCTTGTCGCGATGGTGGTGGAGATAAGATAAAAACTTGTTGATTGACAAATTGAGGTGTATTAGGTAAATTTTTAGAGTTCATCGAGGAGTAACTCGTAGTTTTTGGTCGGTGACTCACAAGCTCAGAGGAATTTCGACATTTTCGCTCTCAAGTCCAAATGAGAGCAATCAGCTTGAGATATTATGCGGTAATAGCTCCAAAAACTAGCTTAAAATTAAAGGATAAAACTCTCGGCGTTGATCAATCCCTGAGGATGCGCCATGCATTCGACTCCACTAAACATCGTTTGGAGGTGATTGAATGCACATCTGGCCTTTACAATGACTCACGGTGGCCTACCGATGCCTGGAGCGAGCCAGTGCTGCGATCCTCCCAGACAAATCTGGTTACCAATTTGCCAAACCCGGAGGGATGGAAGACTTGGTCGGCCATCAGCTCGGGAATCGATTCCACGTGTGTATTGCGGGGCACCTCCGACCACTGCGCCACACGCGCCCTTCTGGCCTACAGTTACCTAGGCCTATTATGTTGAGTGTTTGTAAACTACGGTCAGAATTCAGAGCGTAACAAGAAGAAAACTTTTGATATCAGATGAATTGCTTTGAGCGCGTCTCCTTTATTGAAATGGTAGTGAATTTTCCTGAGATTCTATCTGTTTCAACCCACTTTTGTTTGATACCATACTTTGCTTTTCTCTGAACCTCTGTCCTATGTCGGTATAAGATGAACTTATTGAGCAATGCGGAGATTAATGGAAATTGACCTTGGAAACTTCTTCGCACAGTGCGGCCAAATTCCTCCGTTTTGTAAAGTTTATGGGATCATTTGACAAAAGATCATCTTACATGGGCGATCGATAGCGGTTTTCGCTGCTCAAAACGCCAATTTATTAAGAATTCCATGAGACGTAAAGGTTTGCACGAACTACGCGTGTAGCAGAGACCATTCAGCAAGGGCACAACATCCAGTTGATTCCACTCTACCAGTTCACTCGACTCAAAAGTTCGGCGATGAAGGAATCATTTTGGTATAGAGTCTGGGCGACCATATTTAAAGGAGAATAGATTCCTGAAGTATCTATGGGGAAGAATTTCGGAAATCTGCGAAATCGATCTATGGATTTGTTTCACGGCCATTCCCAAAAACATTAACATAGGGCAACTTTAAGATCGACATCGATGTAAAGTTACAAGTTCTGGATGGCAGCTAGCAATGGGCTATCACTGCTTCCCTGCGTTTCCGAAAAATGTCATTTGGACAGCGAAAACTAATTAGTGGTGCCGCATTTTCATTTATTCTAAGGCAATGCGTTAGAACTTAAATGGCTCGTTTTTGGAATGGTGAGGTCCCTATCACACTTTTCATCAAATTTGTAACTTGCTGGTCTAGCAAGATTACCTGTTTTTAGAGTGCCAGGCGGAACGTATGCTTAACGACTTTGATAAAGCCTGTGATTGGTCTTCGACTAAATCTCATAAAAACGATGTTCATGGAGAGCGGATTGGCTTTGCATGCCTCATTCACGCTCAACGGAACGAATATCTCCGAATGCTCCAGTTATGTCCATCTAGGTCGGGAAATCACTGTGATGAACGACCTAGCTCCAGAGCTGAGCAGAAGGAAACCAGCGGATCGGGGAGCTTTCAAGAGGATTGAGGACGTAGTGAAGAGAACAAAGAACACCCGACCCCGTGCCCACCTTTTCGACTCAACAGTACTTCCTGCCCTAACGTATGCGTCAGAAACCTGGTCGCTGCGTAAGCAGGATGGTCACTCAGCGTTATCGAACTTGCAGTCGAAAGGACAATGTTAGGAGTATTCCGTTCCACACAAATGAGGGATGGGATCCGAAGCTTCGATCTGCGTCAACGATCAAAAATCAAAGATGCCGTTCTGTACGCTAAATAGTTGAAGATAAGGTAGGCCGGACACGGAATGCGTATGAATGACAACCGATGGAAAAGAGCCATTAGTGAGTGGATTCCTCGGGATGTCAAGCGTACTGCAGGAAGACCACCGACCCGATGGTCAGAGTTCTTCAAGAAGAGCCTAAAAAAAAGATATGGTAGTCGAAATGTCCCCAGAGCGAGCAGAACCCACTGGCCACTGTTGCACGCGACAGAGAAAAATGGAAGATTTACTGGCGCCTGCTCGAGTTACTGGACGATCAACGGGACTACAGGTGATACAGATGACGGAGTGCCGAGATAGTTCCCAGGATCGACTTTCTCTTAACCTCGGCATTGGAATATGAATGTTTCGTTTTCTTGTTCAGCAATCGCGAGGTTTTTAAACAGCATACATTTACTTCCATAAAACTTCCATGCCGAGATAGTGATGACGCTGTCCGAAGTTGTCATCAGTGGCAGCCGTCCGTTTTTCCGGACACAGACATAGGGCTACAAACATGTCCTTTTCATCCCTCATAGTCATTCATAGTTGTGCGTCACGTCACACGTGGATACATCGGACATTGTTCCATCTGTTTAACACAAATGAGAATGAACAGGAACTTCATGTGGTTTGATGAAATGTCGGAATCATACATGATAAAGCTGTGGAACATCGACTCAGATTATCGGCTCTGATGAAGACGAAGACGTCGAAACGTTAGTCGAATAAAACTATATTATTAACTTTGTGTCAGGTCGACAATTTGAACACATGTTGATACATAATAAAATAAATTCACTTGAGAGCATCCGAAGGAAAGTTGGTTTTCATTTCTGATCGTTAAAACGTGCATTTACAAAAGCAGTAACACTGTACAGACTGGCGCAACAAGTTACGTAACTTAGCCCTTTCACGACCGCTGCCATTTTCGCGTGTCGTGCTCGTCGACCCGGAATATCACTGCGGCGCTGTAGGAATGCGCATTGTAATCAAGATGCACCGTCCGAAACGTACCGCATCGTACATATTGTGATCAGTGCGCATTGTCGTGAAAGGGTTAGAACACTTATCGCCTATTGCTTTCCTAGCTCACTATACAAGGAAGAAACTTCTGAAGAATGTTTCGAATGCGGGTGAAAAATCACCAACATTAAATTCTCAAAGTAGAAATCTTCTTTGCTAAGTGCTCATGTTCAGTGGCAAGCAATGAGTAGCATATAATTTTAGGCATCAAGGAAAATTTAGGTTCTAAATGGCCATCTGCCTAGATTTTAAAGAATCCCTTTAATTACTCCTTTTTTCCGAGAAACTAAATATTGTTATTTTTGAAGACCAACTTTCACGTGACCTCGGCATGAACAAACAGTATCTTGTTGTACTCATCAGCTTACACGGAACCGTTATTGAGAAGTCTTCATTGTCATTCTTAAGATTATAATTAATTAATCGACTTATTGATGAACAATCAATAATTTTTTTGATCCCTTACTCCTCATTGCAATGCCCAAGCTCTTTACTGCGCTTAATTTTTTATGTGGCTTCCCACCAGATAACGCTGGATCTCGCAAGAAAACAGCTGTGGACATTCAGTTCGAACCATTGCGGCTCTGAGGAAGGTGGAAACGTCTAAACCTTAACCACAATAAAGAGTTTTTTAATAAGAACTCATATAGCCTGACAAAAATATAGAGAGGATGAAGTCTCGAAGTTGATCAATCCCTAGGGGATGCGCCATGCATTCGACCTCATTAGCAACGTTAGACGTGAATGAATGCACATCTGGCTAATACAGTGACTCCCTAAGGCCTATCGATGTACCAAGTCAGTGCTGCTATTCTTCCAGGCAGGTCCAGTACCAATTGGTCGACCCGTGACAGATGGAGGGCTTGGTGAGCCCAGTGCGCGTGATTGAATCGACGACCACGTGCCCATTACAGGGCATCTCTAATCACTACGCTACGCGTGCCTCATGAGCTCTTAAAAGCAGCGAAATATTGGACTTTGTTGTTCAGGATTGCTTGTGTGCATTTTTGAAAAAGTCGATGTTAGATGATCAAACTGCCATCACAGTGCCATCTATGACGTCATCTTATTCGTAACAACATCAGCTACCGTCTCCGCATAACAACATTGCGATTGCACACACTTCACAATTCAATAACGAATTGGTAGCCGTTCATGTCGCAGAGAAGAGGCCATAATTCCCGCTGTGGGGACTCTGTCGGCGATTCCGACCAACACCGTCGTTCCCTAAGTTGCCTAACTGATCTCTGAGCAGCGTGTCGAACAACAACAGCACGTGAGCAGAGCCGGTGCCGTACGCGTCTTAGACTGGTTTTTGATCTGGGCGGGCCTCATGTTTTTTTTTCAACCGGCCTGTGTATTGTCGGTTTCCAACAACACCTCTAAAGTGGACCCCTATTACGGTGAGTGCTCTTTGCACTGTCTACTGCGTTGTAGAAGATACTCAGATCTGACATTCAATTGTGAGATCTGAACGACTTTACCGACTGAGCCACTGGTCACTATGGCCGTTCATGGCTCTGACGAACGCGCTCTTCTCAGACAACAGAACCGTTTCAAAACAAACGTTGTATTAAAAACGAATATCTGCATGCTCAGACGGCTACCAGTTCTGTTGTGAATCAGATAAGAGACATGTGTTCGTTATGACGCTTTGTACAAGCGTGCTCAATGTCGCGGCCGTTATTCAGCTGTTCTGTCACGTCCGCTTAGCAATCCATTGTTTGTCCTGCCAGTGTCGATCAAGCACCATATGTCGCCATGTCCAGCTTTGTACCCTCGTCTCTACAGATCGTTTCTCCTCCAGAGTTTTCATATCGAGGAGGATATCTCTTCAACGAGTATTTGTCTTTTAGTGCATATTGCTTTCTATCTCTATGTTTAACCCAGATGTGAATTTTCCATTCTTCGTATTATTTATTCTACTAAGCAAGAAACATCATTCCGTGCATTTAGTACTGTCTATCGCATCTGTTCAGTTGCTAGCGAAATTTGTTTGCGAATGGAAGATAGCGATAGGTGCCTGCGGCCAACGAACCGCGTAACCGACAGCGATCACTAGCTGATGTGGCTCACTCTGTATGGCCGTTTGTGCATTAGCGCTGTCTTTCACCGCTGTTAACAAAGTTCTAAGCGAATTCTGAACGACTTTGCTGTGCCACAAAACGAGTACTGCCGAGAATGTATGCATTGTGTGCAATTTGTCGACGGTGACCGTGCGAACGATCAACACAAACGATCGACGCAGTGATGCTTCTTTACCCTTCTGTACACTACGTCACTTCTTTCCTGTCGTGTACCAACTGATACAGCCTTGTGTATTTATTGATCGCAGTTTAGCTGTTCTGTCCTCAACGATCCATCATGTCTTGATCTCCATGCACATTAGAGCGCTCTTTCGTTCGTGGTGTTCGTGACACTGGACAGACCTTTGGACACCAGCGGGTGCCTCCAAACAACAGACTTCATCATCGTTGTTCTCTCTGCATGCATAATGAGGTGTAAATCACCGCACTGTATTCTATATTCGGTCTAATCTTCTCGCCCAAGTTTCATAAAACGTGAACTTTGTGTCCATTGCTTCTTTACTAGACAGTTGTTCGTTCTGTTTCTGTTTGTCCTACCATTTCCCAGTGGAATTTGAACAGTGATTTCAGGACCATTCCGGAAAAGATAATCCTATACGACTTAACGTTTCATCGCTGCGTCTTCGCAGAAGCATCGATCTGCTCATAAACAGCTAACACACTGTCGGGCGCTACTCCAGGACTTGGAAATGTTCTTCTTCGAAACGGAAGATGTTATGTCCAGTGAGTGCACCCTACCGTCTTTCCAATTTACCGCTAATATTTGTTTTATTCCAAATAGTTGGAATGTGGGTATCGTGGTATCCATATAGGGGTGTGGTGTGGATAACACTACGTGTCATCGTACGACGCCTTGGGGCGGGAGGGTCAGGAAGACTAGGGGCTTCTGGGCCTGAGATTAACAGCGATTTCATAATCAAAGTCATTCTCCCTGGCCTAGAATTAAACCCGGGTCTCGCATTTGACAGACGCAGATACTAACCACTACGCTGCAGATTTTATCCTCTATGTAGTACACAATGAGAGTAAGCGCAAGTCTATACGGTCGAGCCAAGGATTTCCTCCTCACGACAGTTGGTGAGGTAACGAATAACATGACATACCAATGATATTTTGCATTCAAACGGCGCGACGACTCGTTGGAGGACAGTCCCCTTGTCATTGTGCGAACGACGCCATAAATAAAAATCAATGGTGCCGAATCGGCCGGCGGCGCGACGGCAGGTCACGCGGAGACGCGACGCTCCGCCGCGAGGCTCGTCGAATGTTCCAGGCGGGGGGCGGTGTCTCTCTTTCGGCGACTGCTCCCTCCCGGTCTGAATTGGAATGAGTCCCGATCGGGTCCGAGGTGGGAGTGCGGGGCTGTTGAGCAACCGGCCGGATGGCTCCGTTTGTGCTCGGGTAGGCGAGGAGCGAGTAGTCTCGGTTGCATGTCCACTAGCTGTTCCGGATGTTTCCTTACGTTCATAACCCATCTATATGGCCTCAATGATTACCTAACACCGGACGGGCGACATCCATTGAGTGGAGTATATCTAGTGCAGAAATAATGCTGCTTTCGAGTTGGAATCAACATATCTGTTCGTATCGGACGTTATGAATCACAGTAAAAGCCATTGAAATCTACAGATCTTTGTCTAAATGGTGCAAATTCATTCTACAAAGATGGTAGACCTGATTTCTTAGACTTCACCGAACACATCTATTCTAATTTCCTCGCTGAGGCTCGTGGTTCGAACACGAAAGCAGTTGGACAAGCCAGATTTGGTCCAGCAGGAGACGAAGGTGTTCTCCGAGTACGAAGGCTTAAGTCTAGCAGGAGACGAAGGTGTTCTTCGAGTGTGAAGGCCTAAAAGTTTAAGCATCCTTTTCAACTCATTAGGAGTTGGAAAGATATCTAAAGCCCAAAGGATATCTTAGGAGAATTGTTTGCATAACTAAGGCATTAAAGCGAAGCGTCGCCGATGAAGTTGTGAAGTTGTTAGCTTTTCAAGTGCTCTAGTGACCGAGGCATTGTTACCAATTGTGGAGAAGACGGCTTTGGTTGTTATGTCTTAATGTTTGAATAATGTGCTTGTTTAGAAAAAGTTTAGTGAGTCGTAAGGTTGTTGAAACAGTCTATACTTTCAGAATTCATCTCAGTAAACATCCTTCACAGAGTTCCAGATCTGGATGCAACGTATAAGTCGCTTTAAAAACTTCTCACTCAAAAAAGGTGCAGGGGTTGTTCCAATTTCCTGGTGTGTGTGTACTTGGACACAAATGGCCGGGCTTCGCTGGTTGTGCGGGTCCCAGCATAATTCCCACTGCTTCAGGGTTCTGCTGGTTTAGCTATTGTGGTTCCCTTGAATCGCGAGGTTAGCCTGGCCAAAGTCTACCTCTGCTGTGTATGTCCATTTACTAATTATGGAAAGCCGATTAAAAGTGGATAGCCGAAGTGTGGTGGGATCTGTAATCTATAAGCTTTTATTAATCCATGAATGTGATAAGATTTGTGTCAGTAAATGTTCTAGTTATCACTGACAATTTTCCACAGCCGTATGTCTTCCTCTCAGGGATTTGTGACTAAAATCTGTCGGGTTTCCTGTGCCGCTCAATGAGTGATGTTCTTAGCAAGTTGTACAACGACCACGCCTCTCCTCCCACAAACTCATTACTCAGCGGAGTGGAAAGAGCTACCATACAGGGATACCTTGAAATTCTTGCTAGTAACAGTGGAAATTACGATTGCGTGACGACTGCGTGTCATCATAGCATTACAACGAGACCGCGTTAATTTATGCTGCGCAGGGCAGGTGGGTTCTGCGCTCGTGCGCCCTACGCAGTGACGGAAACCTGTCTGAAGCTGGTTGAGGCTTCTGCGGAGTGGAGAACGAAAGCGCCCGAGTGGAGTGAAGTTGGCCGAAAATACATCGTTTGAAATTTCAGGCGAAAAGGAATCCACACATGTTCTCCATGGACTGTATGCCGTGCCAAATATCGAACGTTGTCATGCCTGATTGTCAGAAAATTATTCACCTTATCGAGTCGGCTGCGGGAAATCGTAAAATAATCTCGCGAATCCCTCTGCGCAAAGTAATTCTGTCATATTCACTTTCTAGTCGATGATATCCTACATGCACCATTCGTCCGTTCACGCATGATTCATGGTAATCAACGCCAAGCAGTGATATTGTCCCAATGCTTGTAGGCTTCTCAGTGAATGTAGTTGGAGAGAACTTCGCCAGTATATATCCGTCAGAGAGTGCGCAGTTTTGGCTAAGGTCGACTCCTCATTCTGGCTCGGGGGCATGGGTCGATCCCCTACCCTGGCCTGGGACATGTGTTGGTCCCTCGCCGAGCGACGCGCTCGACCATGTGACGCGGCGGCGACGACGCACCGCCGTTGTTTTCGCCACGACTCGTCAGTGGGCGGAGCCGCGTCGCGCTCGCCCGTGTGGACCGCGCCGCCCGCCAGACCCAGCGAGCGCGTCGCGTGCAGCCGCCGGCCTCTGTCCACTTCCCGTCCCCCGAAGCACCGGCATCTTCCTGCAACGACATCATGACTTTGCTCCACAGTGGACTTCCTCTGTCTGCCATCGAACAGCTTAATGGTTTGCTGCTAAATCGCTTCTCTAAGTTGAACGTAGCCAGTAAATTCCTGGCAATAGGGTTGTTTTCGGCAGGAACCTATAGTATTGTCGGTTGTGGTGACCACATTTGGTCCAGCAAATCTATGCGGATGTCGATTTCAGGTGCTCCACTGAGCGATGACGGTGAGCGTGAGGTGTTGATGAATCGTTATGGGAGCAACTCTTCCTCCGGATGTGATCACGAGGAAAGGTATCAAAAGTGATTTTGCTTTCAGTTCTGTGATTTTTCGCATCTCCTACATCGTGTGATTGATTTGTCGTCTGTATGCTCCATTCGTTCACCTAGTTTTCGTTCCTTAGAAGTTGTGCTGATTAGCTGAAAATTACTGGAATGCTGTTTGTGAGCTTCACATCTAGCGCATCTTATTATGCTTAGAGGTCATTAGTTTGTGGTATAAGAGTCATGATGGCAGCGTTAGGCAGCAAACTAGGTGGAAGAGAAACAAAGCAGGGGCCGCACTGGTGAAGTGTCTAATACGCGAGCCCCCAGAAAGGATAATCGTGGTTCGGTCTCGCCTGGGTTCCATGTTTTGCGAATATTTCAGCAACATTGTGGTTATATTCTAATGAGTATTCAGTTTATAATGCATAAATGGAAGTTCACTGTCGTTTCAAATGTGCGAGAAGTGTTATTCCTTGTCGTGGGTTGAGCAGTAATCGTTATTTCTTACCCATAACTTGCCATCGAGTGATTCTCGCTAAAATAGTAGTTGGTCGTCATTTGGTGAGAATAAAAGGTCTATGTCTTTACTGAAGTTCGTAAATCAGTAGCGTTAAAGATCTCACCCTGTCATCTAGGTTCAACAAGTATTCTTCCTTGTGGTTTAGTTGAGTGCAGTTCCGGTTCGTGCTGATGTTTTCTTTTCAGTTCTCAAGCGTTTTTAAAAATTTCTTTTTCTTCTGTAAACGGAGCAGAACATGTTCAAAGTTATCGTAACTTCAGACCACACTATGGTGGGCGCGATACCGACCGCTTCTTCGGTGGTGCATTTGAAGGAGATGAAAGTGACGACGACGTGGATGGTGTAGACGACGAACCACCTTCTGAGTTAGTTCCTCTTGGAATGCGCGGTGGCAGCGGTTCATCTAGCGTGCACAGTCCGAGAAATCGAACCCGCAGTGGGTCTCATCTGCACAAACCCGGCTTTTATGGTGGGTGTTTAGTAATTTTTATCAAAAAGGCTATCTACTACGAAGATTGACAAAGGTCTAAGTCGCGGACAGCGTTGTTCCGCTTTTCCGCAGATTTTACTATTTGCAAAACTTCGTTATGGATTCAATGTTTTTCATCAATAAGCAGACACGAGTTGTTAACAACCTCGTGTCTGCTTATTGATGAAAAACATTGAATTATCAATTAATGCCGAGGTTAACAGAAAGTCGGTCTTGGGAATTACTTCGTTATGGATTGCTTTCTCATCTAGGGGAACACGAAACGTTTAGCACAAAACTACACTGGGCAAACAAGCAGCACAACATTTTTCGTCCCGTAGTATTTAGTACAGCATAGTTATAAGGAAAGCTTATCATTGACTTCGTACCTTTAGCTGGTGGTTTTTTTTCGGTTGGTTACCATTCAATTTCTTTACAATATGTGTTTTAGTAGAAGAAAGAGTCCCAGGATCGATTTTATCTTAACCTCGGCATTGATCAATAATTGATGAAGAAGAAGAGTAGTAGAACTTTTAACGACGAATTTTAGCCTCAGTCAGTGTTTCATCGCATTTGGTTTGAGGAGATCGCTAGTGTGTTCAGCAAACTGTGTTGCTCAGTTACCTGACCCTTTACTGAGGGAAGGTGTTAAGTAGCATGCATCGTATTTTTTTGTATTTTTAGGTCTATGAGGCTCTGTGAACTTGGAGTCATATGAAGTATATGAATATGGTAGAAACGGTTGTTAAATATACAAAATTCTTTGAACCGTTGTGGATTTGTTTTGAAGTTGACTGAGCTTGACATGATAATTTATCGTAGTGAAGCATTATCTCATGCGTTGCTAGATGTTCACAATTGCTATATTGACTGTGATAATTGTGCTCCTAGTCGGGTGTGAATGGTCATACTGTGTTACTCTCTTGAATATCGAGTGACGTTCGTGGTTTTAGTTTTGTCTTAGAAAAGAAGTACGGTTCTTACTGGTAAGATTTTAGATTTCTACAAGCTAACAGACGAAAAGTTGGGTGCGGGAGCGTACGCTAGTGTCCGAACTTGTGTTTCGATTGCTTCTGGAAAGGAATACGCAGTAAAGGTGTGAAAGCCACCATCTCATTCTCTGAGTTGTGTATCATACTTCCTCACAATGGTATTTTTGTAAGGTTGTTGATAAGAACGAGGAATCGCATACACGATCGCGAATTCTACGGGAGGTAAACACGTTCAAGATGTGCAAGAACCAGCCAAACATTGTCCAGATGATCGAGGTATGTCGGAAATCCGAGGTCGAAGTTTCTAGCTTATAACATTTGTTCCGTGGGTCTCACCTAAAAATTCACAGTGGTTCGAAGACGACGTGAACTTCTACATGGTTTTCGAAAAGATGCGTGGCGGCCCCCTGCTTGAACACATCATTCGAAAAGGATATTTCACTGAGGAGGAGGCTCGCCGTGTGACAGTGGACATTGCTACTGCACTCAAGTTCCTCCACGACCGAGGTATCACAGGTTTTGAAACGCTTCTAGCTCTCATGGGAATTCATTTTCTTAATTTAGGAATCGCACATCGTGATGTGAAACCTGAAAACATCCTGTGTACTGAGCCCGACCGAGTGAGTCCTGTGAAGTTATGCGATTTAGACCTTGCTAGTCGTCCTGTGAAGGGTCACTCTCCACCAAAAATGCCGCAGGTTAGAATGTAGTTCAGTGACGTCTTTCCATACTTTTCAATGAGAACTGTACAGATTGCGTCTGAACCCGATCTTGCTTCACCAGTTGGGAGTGCTGAATTCATGGCTCCGGAAGTGGTTGATGCGTTTGTCAACGATGCACTTCGGTATGATAAACGGTGCGATATGTGGTCACTTGGGGTGATTTTGTACATAATGCTGTGTGGATACGCCCCATTCCAGGGAGAATGCGATGACGAAGACTGCGGGTAATGTTGCTTTACATCTTAGGTAATACGTGCAGCAAAAAATAGTACCGCAAGGGTTTCAGTTGGTCGGAAGGTCAACCATGCGATGATTGTCAACAGGAACTGTTTCGTCGTATTCAGTGTGGTGAGTATGATTTTCCAGCGGACGAGTGGGACATGATCAGTGCCGAAGCGAAACATCTTGTTAGCAGTCTACTTGTAAGCGAAGTTTGAAGAGTTAACACGAACATGCTAAGGCGATTGTTTCGTATGTGATTTCAGGTGAAAAATGTGAGCGAGCGATTGACTGCCAATGAAGTTCTTGATCATCCTTGGGTGAAGCAAAGCGCACCAAGCACCATCTTACAAACTCCAAGTAATCTCTTTCGGTACGTGAAAGTGACTCTTGAGTTAAAATCTAGGTTCTCTCCTACACAGCACTTCCTCAAATACACGGGCTTTCTTTTCAGCATTGATTCTGCTCGTGACGTACAGCAGATGAGCGAGCACTTCAATGTCATGAATCGGCTCGTAGCCGCCCGTCTGAGCTCTCGTTTGGATAAAATAACAATTAGTGAAGGTTATTGGGAAGTCACAAGTGGTTCCGTCAGTAGCGGAAGTCCTACAGAGCCACCGACAGTTATGTGTAGCAGCGATCGCCAAGTATGTTTAACGTTTTTTCTCGGTTTTTTATATATTGGTGGTGTTTAGTTTGGATTTTTAGCGCATTGCCGACCACATTTGTATATGTTCGAATTCTTTCTTGCTCCTGACAATATTCTAACCTATTTGAAATACGCTAGATTTTTTGCGCCTCTTCAGAACTCAGTTTTCTCGCGAGTTTTTCCGTTATCAGTATAACTTCGATTCAAGAGTTTTCCATCGCAGTCAATTGAAAGTTTTTTCGACACAAAAAAATTGGATTAAATTGATCGTCGTGTTAAAAGTCGTAGTATTATAATGAAAACACGGAACTGTGCTTAGTGGTCGCCATTGTGTTATAAGACACTGCGTCGACCTTATGAGTAATGCTTGTTTTGTTTCAGGTTCCTCAAACACTGCCACTGTTCATGATACCTCCAGAGGCGTTTATGGATCCTTTTAGTGGTGTAATGGTTTATCCACCGGGTAGTGAACCACCTTCTCCAGCTGGAAATGTAAAAGACAGGAATAGAGCGAAGGAGTCGTACTCCAGTTCGGCGAAATTGTCGAATGGGAGTAGCTTCAAGCTTACGGTACGAATAGTACAAGTTATGGTTTTGTTATGAGTTTCTTCACAAAGTGAATATGTTTCGCAGTTTTTTCCAACTACTACACAAAGCTCTAGATTTGGTTTCTCTTATTCACCGATAGTCATCTACTGCTCGGTCATTTTTTCTCCATATCAAGTGCGATTTTATATAAAACGTTGTCAGGATGGAGTGCAAGATTCATCGTGTCTTCATACTGACAGCAGCTTCAGTGGTATCCGTCGTTACATTTCAAGTGTGTCTCGTGTGCCAACACCAGAAACTTGTCAAGGTGCCGTAGTCAGGCAAGTAAGTGGATGTTTATTTTCGATACGGTATTTCATGTACTGCTTTGAACCCACTTCAGGAGTCAAAATCCGACTTGCTAGGTCAACCACATCGTGAAGCTGAGGTGAACGTGTGACATACTTGGCGAGCCTCTCTACATAGCGTTCTAGCTGCTAGTTTGTTCATAATTACATCTTGAGGTTGTTGGCACTCTAGTCTACTAAGCTATCAATCTTGCACACTTATTCTCCGCTTTCTAGTGGGTATATTTCAACCGGGTAGCACCTATTCATTTGTAAATTATCGATAAGTTAAGCACCGGTTTAAGGTGATGTTGTATTTAGCTTTTTTTATTGCTTGTGCAATCGTTCCATTAACATGTGTTCCAAGCACTGCCATGAACGATCAAATCGCTGAGCTTTGGAACACTTCTTGGGTAGTACTAGTGGTTCCGTAAGTATTTGTACATAAGTTATTTAAGCATCATATCAGGAACTGTTTTGAGTTTAGTCTTGTATGCTTTCCCAATAGATCAGTTAGTTTTAGAGTTACATGAGTCCACTTAGCTATCCGACGCATATACAAAGTTGCGTTAGTCCTTCCGTGTCCTGGGTTTGTTGTGTGCATGTGGTAATCTGGACCGGAATGCTTGGATTGGATAGCCTGTATATTCTCATGGTTTAGGTTTGCCACAGGGATAGATATTGCTATTCCAGTCGTTATGTTTACCTTCTCAAATTTTTTTCCTTCCCCTTACATGTATAGCCCTGTTTTCTTTGTTTATATGTCTATTAGTGTTTACGTTACTTATTCTAATTCATAAGAGAAGGGAGTGTACCTCCTTTTTCGAATTCACTTTTGGAGGAGAGCAATGGAAGCACTATGCTTCGTGCTAGCCACATGTTGCAGTTTTTGTCCTTTTGCTAAAAGGTGTGTGGGGCTACCAAGTTGGGTGGTATTAACGATTTGCCTTGCACTCGTGCTGGTCTGTGCGTTTTTTGTTCGGGTGTACTATACTGTAGCCTGTTGGTGTGGAAAAAGCTTCAGTTGCAAACGAGTCCGTAGTGGGTTTTCCTCCAACGATTTAAGCCTGTTCAGACCATGTGTAAATACATGTGATACCCTACATCATTCGGATTTCTCATTTTTAATGTATCGTTCATTTTCTGCTATTCTTCCTCAAGTTCTTCGCATTCTGAATGTTTTATCCTACTCTTCACTAGATTCTAGATTCCATCTAATATTTGTGACCTTTCAACCTCGTATTGCTGTACTTGTGTGCACTTTCATTCATTGCAAACGCAACCTTACATTCTGGTCACTGTGAAGCTTGCGCGCGCATAAGTCTAATGTTTAAATTGTTTAAGCAAATCCTTATGGGATACCATATCCCACTTTCAGCTGCAATTTTCATAGCTACAAAAAAATAAAAAAAAATATCGTATCTATCCCATAGTAGCACTTAGTCGGGCCAGCTCCTTCGGTTCGACATATATGGATAGCTCTAGAAGCGTTGCTTCTCCAAGCTGTTCCGCAAATGTCGAAACGCCTACGCAGATTTTCTCCAATTAGTGTTGTATGTTAGTAGTATTGTAGTACACTGTACCATTGTGAGATATTTATTTTAATGGAGAGGTGATTGTGAACACAGCGCACCATAGCATGTTCACAAATCACGGAGATCGTGTCCTCATTTTCACGTTGATCAATAAAGTGTGAAATAATTCATATGCGTAAAGTGCCAAAAAAGATGGGTGGTGTGGTCGGCTATTAGCGTATATTTGATGCAGAGGTACAAAGTGGGTTGTTATTTAGAAAAGAAAAATAATTGGTGGGAGAGGTGTGCTAAGAGGTGGAAATAATCTGTGGAAGGGTGTGGACGGTGTGGGGACAATGAGCAAATCGAATCGTGCGGATGGAGTGCGGTTCATAGAAATAATAGGTTTATTCATACATTATATACTTCCATTATTATATACTTCCATTATTATTATTATTTGACATTATACTTCCACGTGATTTCTGTGCGGTTGGTCTCTACGTGACATACTTAGTGGAAACCTCATAGAAAGCGGCTCTGAAGAAGGCGAAATCCGCCGAAACGTCAGCTTAATCGTGAACAAGGAATAGTAACACCTCGCGTTTGCTCAACAAAAATACGAAGAAAATCACTTGATCAATGCCGAGGTTAATAGAAAGTCGGTCGTGGCAGGTTTATTCATAGTTGGAGTGCACTCGAAGCTAAGCGCTATTTCTTAGCATGTTTCCTTAGACTGTCGAGCTGGATATGTTAGGTTATTGCGTTTTCTGGAAATATTGCTCTGTATGTACTGGAAATTGCGGATTTGCGGCGTTGTGTTGGTGAAAGTGTTCAGTGTTCTGCAGTTGACGTGCAGTCGTTAGCGTTGATCGCTCCTCGTTTCGACTAACCAGATGTAAATGGGGTGCAAACTATGTTTATGCTGCGCTTCGAGAATAACGAAGCCGATCGTAACCTAGTTCTGCCTCGATGTCGGAGTTCTATGCTGGACGACTGCTTGTATCCCAGTGTTTTATCTTTGTTTTATTTTGTTTCTTATATAATTCTTTTCTATTTTAGTCTAATCTGATATTCTACTCTGTAATTCGTAATTTCAATTCAGTTCGTCCCCATTCAACTCTGTTCCGTCTAACTTCTGTTTAGGAGGACGTGTGTGGACGGTTCGATTCCACTTAAGCTTTGCTATGATTTGAAAATTCAGGTTATAATTTAAGCGCGGTAATTCTGGGAATCCCTTTTAAGAGTCTGACTCGGGCACAGTGTGAATACTGGTGACGGTTCCCTATCAATTTTGCAACAGGAGGATGTTGGAGTCAGAACTGTATATCATTCTAATGTTAAAATTTTTCCAGTAGAATATCGGTTGATGAGTTTTGAAATTTAATCAGTCATAGGTGGTATGAGTTATACTTATTGCATACAAGGCCACCGTACAAGCTTCTAGTGGGGAATTTATATGAACTTTAACTATAGGTGCTTATTAATCATAGTAGTAGAGTTTAGAGTCGGGTAATTCTTTATGTTGTTAGTTAGTCAGAATATGATGGCAATGGCGCCTATCACATAGACGATGACGGTGATGCAGCTCGTCAGGTTATTCATCGCCGCATGGATTTGCACCCAATCAGCAGAAGCGTCCTGAAAAAACTATCATGGCAGTAGAAGAAATCTATTCATTCCTCATCAACATCAACTATTATGAAGAGTGTTGTTTTGAAGGTAAATCATCTGCACAGTACAAGTACAGCAGTGCTAAGTACAAGCACGCGACCGTGTAGTACTTTAGCCCTTTCATGACGAAGCTGGTTTTTCGATAACGGATGATTATTTCTCAATAACTAGAATATCTTAGAAGTTCACAACTTCGTACATTTGTGGAAGAGACAAAGGCTCGTGTAGCGCAATGGTTATAGATACTATCCAATACACATGGGTTCGTTGCCGCGTCCAAGGCTCAAAGAGCCAGTCCTCCGGGATCAGCAAATTGGTACAGGACCTGCCGGGTTGTACAGCAGCGCTGACTAGATAGATCGATAAACCACGGGAATAGAGTTCAGGCCAAATATGCACTCATTCGTCTCTAACCATTCCTAACGAAGTCGAACGAAATCTCTCAGGGATTGATCAAGGTCGAGAGGTTTATCCTTTTATAGAAGTGACTTTGTTCTATTGCACAAATCGCTGGTAGTTTTTATACAATGTGCTTTCAAAGCTAAATATGTTAGCAACGAAAATTTTCGAAAAATTGGAGAGGAAATTTATTTTTTGAAACTTGTAATGCAAGACCAGCAACTGCAAACATAGACGGCACACTGGAAAAACTCATCGTGCCATTGTGAACAAAAGTCCAGTGGTTTGTTTGGTTTCATTCTCGAAATAAGAGTTTTGAAGCAGTAATGTAAAAGAAATATGTGTTATGGGTTCCACAAAATTTGAATATAGAATGCTATCATAATGTAGCTAGGAGATTTTTATCTTCTAGGAAAAGATTTGTAGATTCTACTTTTCTCGCAATTAGTAAAATTTGTTAAGAGGGGCATTTTTGTTAGTGCTTGTGAATGTTTAATTCTGCTTATATTTAAATGTCTATAAAATTATAGGCGGGTAGCACAGTGATGGTGATGCCAGTCATCACGAGCACAATCCTGGTTCGATCCGGCTTAGCGCTTACCAAGCTTGTCATCACTTTGTGGTCGGGAACGTGGTACGGGACTTGTCCGAGAAGAATTCACTCTGTGCGTTCCAACTGAGAACGCGTTAGCCTGGCTATATCTGCACTCCAGGGAGAACCGACTCCACCAGCATTCTGCGACATTCAAATGAAGTGAAAATCCTCTAGCATTAGCCGACTCCATACGTAGAAGTTGAAAGACCTTAGTGGATGATGGATGCTAGGGAAACGAATCGAATGTGAGAATTGGTGGAATCCATACAGTAGATGTGAAAAGATGATTTAAAAAAGGAAAAGTTTGCAAAATCGAATGCGACTTTTTATTTTCGTGTCGTATGACACCTATAGAGGGCACATAGCCACCTAGGTGGTAATACTTTCATCAGAATTTGAATGTGGTGTAACAGACGCTCGCATTTGTCTTGATTAAAACTTTTGAATCAGATTACTTTATTACAAGGATGTTTGGGTACGGATAGTTTAGCAGCTGGTTGAAAATAATGTGATCCTTCTCTGATCACGAACGAATCTGAATTTGAAAATGTCATTAAAACTGGTACTAACATTTATGTCGCTAAGTTCTATCGTTTGTTAGTTTTCTTCCTGGCGCAGTAGTGAATATAAACGAACAAGGCTTAATATGATATTAGCCCGAACCAGATGGTGGAATAGCCAGTCATTATAAACGATTGGAGATAATCTCCTGTGAGTGTGCACCAATGTCTTCTCTTTTTACAGGGAGTATTATCTGTTAAAAAGTGCTACTTTTGGTCTTTTTTGATTAATTCATACCAGCTTATCAATGAAACAAAGTACATTAATCCATACTATTTTTCATGCAGGGGCGGATATCACAGTGGTAGAGATAATGGCCATCACGGGCACGGTGTCAGTTCGATTTCGCTCCGGGCCAACCAAGTCTCCTAACCCTCCTGGGGCGTGAAATTGGTACCGGACTTGTCCGGAAGAAAATCACTCTTTGCAATACAATTGGGACCGCTCTAGCCCGGCTATCTCAGGAAGGAATCGAGCCGACCAGCATTCCTACGACAATCAAGATGAAATGAAAATCCTTAAGCATCATTTGAAGCCACACGTAAAAGGTGAGTGGCAGCACAGTAGACGTGAAGACGGGTCATATAAAAGGAAAAAATTTCATGCATTCCGTTTCGGGATTATCCTGGAGAACTTTGGAAATTAAACCTTCAGAACATGAAACGCGAGCAAACCTTTGATGATGTTCCATCTGTGACGGGCTCTCCCTCTGAACCACAGCACAGGTTCGCATTTAACACAGAGGCCAGAAGTGTGAAACGATGAGCTGAACTAGTTTCTCGTTAAATAATGAATTCGTTATTATATCGTCTTATGAATCTACACTTTTTACACGCACAAAGAATTCCATGGTATGTAGTTGAACGACTAATGAACTAAACCATTACTCAAATAAATAACTCTTATCAGTGAAGTTTATCCCAACGAGGAATACTCTGCTGAGCATGTTACTAGCAATTTCATTTCACTGCAAGAAGAATATTTAAGGATCAAGGTCGTCTTAGTTTCTTGGGCTACTTTTAGCGTAAACTGACGAGATATTTTAGGTGCTTCCTATCGTCTCACCTGGAGGCACTTTTCTCTTAATTCTACTTGTCGCTGAGATTAACACGGTCATAATCAAACTTATCACTGTAACAGCCAAAGTGAAGGCGTAAAACACATCTGAAACATATAGCTATACAACTATAGATGAGAAAGTGAAATAGAGCGCTAGCTGAGAAAATCTCACATATTTTCGGAAGTGACGATCCGAATCCCAAATGAGGTGTCTTATCTACCATAAATTGGAAGCTCATAAATTGCAATAGTAATGCGAACATCTTAACTTTGATCTGAAATATCGCGCATCACAACGAAACAATACCAAATTAAACTAGAAACTAGCTCAGAGGAACACAGATCAAGGGCCTCCATGGCGCAGTGTGTAATGAGCGAGTCCTCGGAAAGGGACATGGTTCGATCTGACTCGTGGTTCAAATTTTGCGAATAACTCAGCATCGTTGCAGTTGGTTCCCCGTAATGCCAATCCCTTTCTGACTTTAGGATCTCTCCTAAGACATAAAGACAATTGGGCGCTTATATTATTGGAAAATTTTCGTGGTTTAATGGAATTCCGAACATTTCGGAACTTCTCCGAGTAGAAAAAATAGGAAGGACAACCCTCTTACCATCTGTTTATCACCTTGTCGCTGCTGAAAGGTCCTGGGTATTAAATTAAGATATACAGAGAGAGAATTCAACTTCAAGACGGTCTTTACAGCTAAGAAACGGTTTATATTCTTAATCACAAGCAGAGAAAGCGATAAATCAATGTTAAGATTCGCTGCTGCCTTGGTATAACATTGATCACAACAAGATGCTAAGTCGCTTTTCGGTCTACATTGAGCACTGACTGATGCAAGGCTGCTGACGACCTGGAAAAGGTGTGGTACGGATTTCTCGGGACTCCAGGGTAAAAACCATACCAAACCAGAAGCAAACCACTTGAGAGGAAGATTTTCCAGGGTCCGTCTCATTTTTCTTGACAACAAAATTTATTAAGGTGTAAAAATAAGTAGCACATCGTTCAGATAAACGATTCGGCTTAACATGTTCTTTGAGCTTTAAATAGTTCGAGAAAATTTTTTAGGCGGACATCAGTTCTAGCTAGGCTGTTGTGTTCAATTCATGTGTTTCAGATTCTACGCCACATAAAAGGACATGCAGGGAAGGGCTAGAACTTCCGACTAGACCGTTACGAGAACTAAAGCACCAGCTACGGCATCACGATATTCAGTTCAACGAATAACATCAATGTTCATAAAGTTCTTTACTAGGATTTTGCAGAATATAAACTGTTCAGTATCGCATTAAGTCACGTAAGCACATGTTCACCTGTTGATCGAATGTTCCGAAAAAGGGAGCAATGAGCAGAAGGAGTGCTGATATCAGCACTGGCAAGGTCAACTCAATAGCCAGCGTGGTCGAACGTCGTCTAGCCGTCACGCAGATCTCCAGTGTGTCAGCTCTGGAAACTGTTTTGTATTTCCATAGCCAGCCTTCCTTTTTAATTCACCTCCAATCACCATGCAGACACACTCACTTGCGAGCCATAACAGCACATTTCTATGCAGTCAAGTTTCAAGCATAGGTTGAATTCGAATATGACTTCTACCACCGCCTGTGATAAACGGATGAACTTTTCGATGGTCTTTAGGCTTATGCTAATGCTCGCAATGGCGTTGCTGTGCACAATTCCCCTACTCTTTGTGAATGCTTTTGAACATTCAGGACGTCTGATTGAAGGGATTCTCACAATAAAATATTCCCATGCTATCCTTATATCGTGACGTACAGAAAGAATCACTATCGTAATCGAACACAAATCGTCTAAACAACTAGGAACCGTTTGAAAACTCGTGGGTCGTAACGGCGCTGCAGCACCTCTACTCGTTCCAAATAGTGTGCGTACATCTAAGGCAAAGGTAGAAAATTCCGCATTTTCTCTTCCATCATGCCTTCCTCGCGTGAACACAAGCAAATTATGACTCATGAAATATTCCCATGACAGTGAAATTCACTGAATTTCGAACATCCAAATAAATAGCAGAGTGGTAGGGATCGGTTTGGGTATCGTATATCACAACATCGCTGGCTCTAAACCGAATTTAGTTCCTGGATTCATGAGTTTAAGATTCTTTTCCTAACAAGAACTAACTGATTAAGGACCTTTAAAAAATTCCATTTCAGGCTCAACATAAAGCACTGTTTTTTTCCCCACGAATTCGGTTGCGCATTCTGCTAATGACTTCTATGAAAATAACCACGAAATTGTTTGACTGACGTGAAGGTCTTACTTGTTATCGCCGTCCTGAGTTTTCTTTTTCAACCAAGAGTTCTCGATTTTCCAGTTAGTCTTCAACTGTGAGATGTCCAGGTGTTCTGCAAGTACAATTTCAACAGCTCTTGAGCTTCTCCTCTGCCTCTGAGCACATTCTCACCGTCCGCGTTCTCCAAATAGTACTTGATGTATCGCTTGTAGAGCGTCGACTGGAGATTGAAGCAACAGTGTTTGATATCCTAAACACCCAAAGACAAATTGGATACTTAGAAAGTGCTCCAGCAACTTTTCCTTCTCAACAAATTCAAATCAAAAATTGTTTTCAAGGACTCTTCAACACCTTGCGAATTGGCTAAAGTTTTAACGGATTTCATTAAAGTGGTGACGGATCAGTTTTTTTCAAGAACGCTACACGAATTAATTCACTGTCGTGAAAAAGCTTAATCATACAGCCATGAAAAAGTAGAATGGAAGGAATTACTGCTTTCTGCTCTGCTTTTCTGCTTTTCTCCGTGTGAGGGAAGGACAATTGTCCTTTATTCTACTCGTTTCTAGAAATCTGACCTGATTCTTATCTCTAGTGTCGACTAGGCTTTCTGATTAATGATTTAGATTAAGACGGAAATCGGCTCACACTTGGATATTCAGTGTAGTCAATTTCGCAATGTGCCTGAATACGAAATTCCAGTCTGCCGGTAACATTTCCGTTGTTGTTGGAACTCAGCGACTGGAACGTAACGTAATCCGATGACTGCTGTCCTGTCTGATGTCTGTAAAATTTCTTATACTGAGAACTTTCATGAAACAGGTTTGCCTTCACTCATTATTGTTCTTTGATTTTCGATTTTTATTATTATCAAAATTCATTAAATTTTTTTATTTGTAGCTTACAAACTAAATTATACTGCACAGCTAACTGATATAACTCAACGATAGTATCGGGTTTCCTTGCTTACTTTAAAGATTATGAGTTCTGAGCGCAACAATTCTCGGCACTTGATTTTCTTTCGTTCTTAATTCATCCACTCATTTGCTATGGCTACGAACATTTGCATTTATGTCGCATTCGATCCGTACATCGTCCCTCAAATGATGGTGAATAGATGTTTTGTGTAATTTAGCGACTGGGACATTAACCTTGAGTGTAGTCCCGCTCTGGATCATCTGGATTCTTTGAGCGCTCGACATAGTTGGATTTGAACGTGCTTAAGTAGGACGTGAACGTTTTTATCCATCCCATTCTGAACGCTCATACACTATCGTACACCAGTTATAGGTCAAGCAGGGATCTCTTATGCCTTCTTGAGTACTTACTTCACCTATTCAATAATGTCAAGAGGTTTGGACAACAGCTACCTACGTTTTCTCAGTAAAGGAACGCAGTGATCGCGCCGACAACATACGGATTTTGTCCCGCGGTAGAAACAAGGAATTACTTTATTTATAATTTGTGGAAGGAAGAAGTGAGTATAAATCTCGGCATCACCTGCAACCTAGAGTGGCTGGATTGCGTCCATGACCCGCTACTGAATTCGGACTCTTAAAAAGATATGCTGTCGGTACAGTGGTCGGTATCCGACGTTTAATGCTGGTCATTGCTGTCCACATCTAGCTACTCCAGAGAATATTTTCTATCTTGTAAAAACTAGTTTTCGCCTCTTCATACACACTATGGCTGCAGTTCTTTGCAGTTTCATTGGGTCGTTTGCGGATTTGTACGAAAACATTTCCATATCCCGCGTATGTATACGATGCACTTGCTCACCCGAATTTGGTTGGGAAATTTGGTGCTTGCTCAACCTGGCTTTATTAAAACTTTAATGCGAAAACTCTACAAGCATACTTCACCCAACTCTTGAAATCAAAGCCATGGTCTTCTAAACTGATGTAATCAAATCCCTATAGTAGTTCGAAGTACTTCGCACCAATATTTCAGTGATTGCTATAGGTTAGATTCCGGACAATTAATACGTTCATAGAGTTGTCATTTTGCACGAAAACTGCCAACCAATGACATGGACTCCACTTAGTAATATGTGAAGAATGAAATTAAAAGAGAAAGAAATGATCTCCGAAACCGAGAGAAAATTGGCTTCTACTTCTTAACGTTCAATTTAACCTAACAGATAGCAGTCATATTACAAAGTGGTAGCGAAAGCCAATTAATAAGAACATCCTTATTCTTATCTTCCTTCTCACCCTTTACACATAAAGAAGGTGATTGTGGGAAACATGTTTCGAACAGACACCCCTGTATGTACAAGTAGGAAACTAAAGGAGGAATCGCGTGACTTAACTCAGCAAATAGCCATCCTCAATGGCTACGAAGTAGTAACCACACGAGATAAGTTTAGAAGAACAGCGACGCGCCAAGACGAAATACTTGGTCAAAAGAAAATCCCGTTTATCTTGCCCTTTATTAGCGATGAAGTAAGTGTGGCTATAAAATTATGCTTAGGAAGAGCAGATCTAGAGGAATCGGTAGCGATAATTGAAATCCAACGAATACTCTTCGTCATTAGTTAGTTCGTTGCCGCCTAAATGACCGTTTATGTGGGAAACAGAACTGCGTAGTTTGGCCTTGAGGTAGGGACGGTGACTGCATGAGTTCAGGTACGACATACCTGATCTATTTTAATACTTACGGAGATGAACATATTGGAGAAACGGGCAGACTTTTATGTATCCGTATAGAAGAACAACTAAATAGCAAACGAAAAACAAGACAAAGCAGCCGACTAGGGACGCATAGGTTACAAAAGCATAGAGGAGACGATTTTAACATGGAAGTCAGTATCCTCCCACAGGATGCCAAACACCGGTACGCAGACTTCTCGACGCTTTTTGGATCCCAAGTACCCTACAATGAATAACAGAAAGAAATGCCCAGAGCTCACACGCGACCTGGCCCCGTATCTTCGCATCAAATTTCGGTGCGGTGTAGTGCTTCCTGAGTGGATGGTAGATAAAAACAGCGGATTTTTTGTGAAGGTGTTGATCATATGATTTTTATATGAAATTTCCTTCTGTTTATGTTACTGAGGTGTTTGGCATAGTAAATTGCATATCAATATACCCTTCCAGACTCTGAGGAAGGCTATTCTGCCGGAACGTCAGCTACTGTTGTGTTGAATGTGTTTTTGTACGAAAGTAAAGGTGCGCTGCATAACAACCTCGCGAAAACAGAGAGAAAACGACGCATTTACAATCCAGTGCCGAGGTTAACAGAAAGTTGATCCTGAGAACTAAAGTATACTCGTCGGGGAATGGGATGCTGTGTGGTCGAACTACCATCTCTGTCACTTGATGGCTTACCTTTTCATAAATAGCAAGAAAATACAATCCGTCCACAGGAACTGTTTATTCTAACCACGTAACACTCCTGTAATCTTTTAATTTGGATAGCGTTTGCGACATCTTGAACTCCGTTGCCTTCCTGCTTCCTTGGTTTTATTGTCAAGCCATTGTATTCAAGGATTATGCTAATCTTCCGTCCATTGTTCATTCTTGCTTGACTGGAGGATTGATACCGCTTGATCTAGTTTAGAACTTTGACATCCACTCTAATACGAGTTGTTGTTGATCGCATTCCTCATCCATTTCGTTTGTACAAGGTAAATCTTCAGCCCAGTCGTTCTCACCAGTTTCTTAAACTTCGTATTAAGGGATACGATCATTGAAAGTGGCGGTTTTCCATCCATAGTGAACCCTCATTTTGGTTAACCTTTCGAATAAAGAACCCTAGTACACACATAGAAGCTGACCACATTCTTGAGTTACCACTAAAGCCTTGTTAATGGGTCCCAAAACAACAGTGTACTCTTCTTGTTTCTGATATCACAAACGTGCTATGGTTGCTCGGTATGTAGCATCCGAAGTGCGGTGCCGTCGGGCGGTACTCCACAATGAAGTGTTTCAAAACTCACTAAACATTTCAGCGCCTCACTACTAGGGTATGCTCCAATATCTACTACACTTTAGGGGACGGTTTCATCAGTAAAGTAATTGTGAGGTTGGTTGTCAATCACGTGAACTTTGTGTTATGTTACCACAACTGTACGTTCCTAAGACCGCGGATATGCGAAAAACGCCCAAGAAGACATCGGTATACAGTACAGGTGGAACTACTCTTTGACCGTGTAATTATTGAATCGTTCTGGTCAACAAGTACGCTTGATACATTCGTGTGTGGATGGAAAGTCTAGTTGTGGGTCGCAGACGAACTCCAACCAGAAGTCTGGTTGCCACGAGACATTCCAATAGTGGAAAAGCATGTTAAAAGTAGCTGAGAGTCACATCTTAAGACAAAACCTGAAAAATCTCTCATAAGCGCTCTTGTTATCGCAGTAGAATGTGATAAGCTACGTTTTAAGCTTGGACACTATCAGCCGTGGTAACAGAAAGGATCCCATGACGGCCGAAATGTATTGCGTGCAATGATTACAACGGAAACAAAATGACCACAATGTTACTGAGATATTCGCAAAACTCCGGACCGCTGCCCTTCCGGGGCTTAACTCATTCACCACCACACCATGCGGATCCTTCGTTTCGCCTGTCCCACAACCGTGTTGTTGACCTATAGGCGCTATTTTGGCAATCACCCATCAACGAGATTGATCTGGAGAGCACAAATTGGCATGAACACAGTTAGGCTGAGGCTATGGTATAAATCACATGGATTTTAAGTGAAATATAACCACAACCTTGCTAAGATATTTACAAAACTCCTGGCCGCTGGTGTCTACAGTGGGGACAGAACACGCTATTACACTTTCCGGGGGACTAACGCATTTACTACCACACTATGCGGATCTTTCGTTTCGCCTGTCACCCGTGTTACTGACCTATAGAAATAGAGACAAAATGATCGGGACGCAGTGCACTGTTTCTTTTAAGTGATTTATTTTGCTGCACAAAGCTTTTTTGCCGCACTTTTTGAACTGAACCGATAGCTTGTTCAACACTGATGTTCTTGTCAGATGTGGTCCGCGAAAAGGTGTGCTCTCTTCCTAATGTTTTAAGAGAAACATTTTTCTTCAACTCAGTATCTCAGGTAATTCGACTAGCAACAGATTGTTATTTCAATTCCAGGCACTATAATGAATCATTGTTATGGTATGGAATGTATGATGGTAAGGAAATAGGCACAATGTCGGTTGCAGAATACTTCCAAATAATGTTAGGAATATGGTTGTATGGAAGACCGACCACTGTACAAAGTAGGTAGCACCGCACATTTCACCGATAGCCCTAGAGCAATAAAGCAAAGCCTTTTCTATAACGCTTCATGATCGCAACCTTTCAAATCCTCCAGTTACCGAAAAATATCTCCTATTGTCAAAGAACTACCAAGTTCGTCACGATATAAGACTATGCTTCTATCCACGTTCAGTTGTTAAAATACTTGAAAAACTACCCAGTATAAGGCTCCGTAGAAAAGCGTATCAAAGAGAAAATACTGGGAACCAAGGATTAAAATAGGTTTAGAAAGCTAATAGAAAACTATCCCATCCATGTGTATGAGCAAAGAACAAGTGAGAAATTAATTTCTTCACCGCCATGTCGACGTTGAGCTGCAAGAGACAAAAATGATGGCAGTGGCAAAGTTAGCGACCCCTTCTTAATAGAGAGAAAGGGGGTGTGTATGGATAACACGCAATCGCCGCTCACGGTTGATACCGAAACAAGTAGGGTAATATGCTATTTTAGTTTTAATACGTCAAATCGATGAGCACCACCTAGACCCATGGTTGACCACACTTTAAGAATCTTTCCTTCTCTTCTCACTTTTTTTTCAAACTTAGAAAATAAACGAAACTACTGAAATATGAAGTTATCTTTGACCAAAGGAGATTTAGATCAGATTAAGAAATTCTTCAATCTAGATGCTTTCGTGTCGAAACCGTGTCTTTTGCCAGTAGAAATGAGCAGTGGGAATTACAAGCCGTACATCAACGTCGTTATCAACTGGTCTATCAAAAATATCAAGCGTTTCAGTGCAATGTGTTAATGCTGTTCGCGAGATCTGCAGCATTTCTACAAATATACAGACGTCGATAATCTGAAGCGAAAAAACGCAAAACAGGACGTGAACGATGGATTAAGTACTTATTGTTGACTTCTTACTTAAGCTGTTATGCACGAAAACGATCGTTCCTTCGAAAGCCACGGTTTACTACCTAGCATAAGATTGTAGAGACCAAAGCATTTAAGCTCAGATAAGCCATATTTCCGTGCTTTCTCCACTTTACTGTAGTCTCTAGCGAATACTTTAACTTCAGTGGACGGACTAAATCGATGGGTTTGAGACCAAACGATGCAGAATACCCCGTAGTCGAATGCAAGTTCTTATTGGAAGAAGGGAAGGAACGACAATGTGCGCCTATATTTCTTCCACTATGTGGTTCTACTTGAACCTTTCTTAGAATGCCAAAGTGTGAAAACAACAAAAATGTAGTCGATGTCATCTAAGACCTCACAGACAGAATGCGAATTAATTACCCATTGCAAGCGATTGATGGAAATCACTGGAAGTTCTCATCTATGCTGATGACGAGAAAGCATTTTTGTATGTGCACACACCATGACATCGAAGGTCAAGTGGTACGTGGACGTCACGCTTCAAGGAACATCGTGGCGCGTGAGCTACCATGAACTGGAACTCAGGTAGTATTGGACGAGGAGGAAAAACCGTACCAATTCGCTCATCAAACTTCATGAACTATAGTTTTAGTGGTGGAGAGGCCTAGTATCAACACTTCGTAACAGCGACATGATGAAACATTCAAATCGCTTATTATTTTACTATTACTGTTACTATTATTATTATTATTATTATTATTATCATTATTATTATTATATCAACACAATGATTTCTTTCTTTCTAAACGGAGTTGGCTTGGTAAGATTGAAAATTTACGAAGAGTTAGTAGATGATAACCCTTCCGATGGCTAATCGTTATAGGGAGAGGTGGTGTCCATAATATCAAACTTCGATGTACATCGGGGATCTATCGTCGGCAAAAATTATTTAAAGTGGGAAAGAATTCGAAATTTTGAGCTAGAAGTGTATGCAGGAGTAAACTAGTGACGGAACTCGCCAATGTCGAGAAGCGAACCTCGGGTGATAGAATTCTCAAGAACCTATAAAGACTGATGGAAACACGTGGTAATGGCTCGTTACGCTCGGCTATCCTTTGTGCCGGTGAAGAAACTAATAAGGTTTTTCTTATGAGAGCGTGTCTTAGGAGGATTGGTCATTCAAAACCAAGCAGTGGTTTAATCACAAGCTAAATCTGTTTTTCTTCGAAGCTTAAAAGAAGTAGGCATACTTGTCTGAATTAATATCAGGAACCCAAAGTCGTCCAAATGATTTGATGCTTAGTTGGTCGGTCTTCCACTCAGTAACGTCCCAGCGAAGGCGTCGGTCTTTCCAGGACTGAAATCGAAACATCTATTACTCTGATTATTGTATTACGCTTTTCCTCAACAAAATTGTTCGAACAAGATTGTTCCTGGTAATGGTCGTTAAATTTTGCTAGTCGGTAATAACATCATGATCGATAACATCTTAGTTTCAGTTCAAATCAAGAGTATTTTTTCCACACAACCATTCATCACATTCTCTAACTTTTTGTTTACTCCGTATTATTTTTTCGTGGGCGGGTATTATGTGAAATACTACCACAATAAAGGAAGATAAAAGCATAGCAAAGAAAAGGGCCTCGGAGGTGCAGTGAGTAACCTGTGAGCCCCTAGAAAGGGTAAATGCAATTTCGAAGCTAGCCGTGAGTCCGAGCTTTGTAAATATCTCAGGGCCGTTGTAGTTGTATAAACAATTATCTTCAAACATTTTGTAAACAAACTAGAATTTCTGCAAGTGGCCAAAATTATACTGCCCAAACATCTTGGATGACCAGTGTAAATAGGTGCTTGTGGATTTTGTATACAAACACATGCAGCTAGGCTTCTATTCGATTGAATTTGGAAGATACGCGACTATAAGAAGGGCTTCTGGAATATTCATGAGCTGTAAGAACGATCGATAAGCCGTTTTTCGGACGCTGTTGTCAGGAGACTTCCACGAAGAGCATTTGCTTCCCAGTTATAAAGGATCAACTTCTCTGATTCACAAAATGTGACCAGAAGGTTTACTATGGTACGTGAAGATACAAAAATCTTGCAAAAACTTATAGATTTGTAGAATTCAGCGCCGTCGTACTCGAGTAGTAATAGGTCAGCAAGCATGCAAATGTTGTATATTTGGACATTTACGGAACATGGATTTTATGGCTAAAATTCCATATTTCAGTTGTATACGTTGCTACAGTTTCTCGGGTCCATATTTGCTTGTGAACAGCTGAATAGTTGAGAGCTAGAAAAATTTGCTGTTCTAGATAGTATAGTGGACTACAGTACCGAGATCTCACCATGAAGGAGCAAGCGAAGTTTAGGCGGTAGTATTCAAAATGTAGTCAATTCAAATTTAAGTTCACTAATATTCAGACGCTCAAAAGTTGAGAAATCTTTCAGCATTACTTTGGTACTGTGAAAATTAGTGGGCCTACATTGCTTGAGAGCTTGCTGGCTCTTGGCGAACCCCATTATCCCAGGAGATACTAGCTAACGTTCATCGGCTTCTGTGCGGTCTGTATGTGATTTTTCGTGTGCGTCAGAGAGCGAATGACGAATTGTATGCTCAGGCGCTTAGCAACTCGTGTGTCCACTCTCTACCATTCACTTCCCTTCTAGTCGTCTCTATGAGGTTTGTTTGTCCACAAGCACTCTCGCGCACTCTCATCACCTTTGCTTATGCTGTCTTGTTCCTGCACGATTCACTACCAAAATAGGAACCATCTGCGCTCATAAATACTTAAGAGAAAGGCGAAACCTGACCAGCTTCAAATAGCCGTTGATGTTCATCTCCTTGAAGACTTCGTTCTAAAATGATCACATAGTTAACAAGTTTGGAACATTCCTTTTAATTATTAAATGAAATTAAAGAGTCTTCTACGTCACTATGATGGCATTATGAGTGTGGAAATAAAAATTTCGAAGTAATAGAGTGGATTATAGACGATGTTCTTCAACGAACCATCCACATTTGTCTTACAGCAGCATGCAAAACTTGAACATCTAGAGTCTCTCCGGCGGCTACCGTAGGCGGTAGAAGCATCAGCGCGTTGCTCTTTCCTAAGGATGGGGTTAGTGAGCCAAAAGAATACAATAACAGACTCTTGTTCGGTAACCAAATATCGGATATTATAAAAATGCTCACCCTGCATCTGATCAGCGTCCTTGGTGAGCTTATAAAAGAGGCATTCTTCGAGCACTTGATACTTATGGTGCGCGATGTCGGTAACATCTTAAGTGAGCTTGGGTTTTCGTTGAGAAATAGCAGTTGGAAACTGATTTGAATGTTTTAATAAGTAGTCGCTAAAACGGGGCTGGTATTAAATTGCTCCAGCCAGTACAGCCAAATTTAGCTTTAGTTTCACTATCATAATACATCCTTATGCATTCGGAAGTATAATAGAAAATTGGGGAAGATCTTAACAAAACACTAGAGCTATAATGAGTGGCATAGTAGAAGTGAATCATAGCAGTCATGTTCTCTGATCAGCAAAAGTTGTCATCTGGAAGGATTTTTCCGGAACAAATTTCGATAAGAGAGCAAAAATATAAGCGAGAATGAGTTGGAATAGTTATATATACGGTGTGGAAAATCCACATGGCTTGTAGAGGTCGCACAATGGTTTTTCCATTGCGTAACCTATTTTAAGAGGACATAATTGTGGTCACTGGTGTGGCGTGGCGCTAGCTGAGGGAACAGCGGAGCCCAGAGTTCGAAAGGAATCGCCACCTGCTTACCGGAACATCACGAAGCTGATGGGATCGACATGATCGGGAGTCTTGCGAATAATTACGAAGAAGAATATAGAGCTTGAAATGACCGGGTGTTAAAGCAACTTGTCTATGGAAATATACGTACTTGACCAGTAGGGGCTCCGCAAACGACGTGAGGAAAAGAGTAGGGCGCATTGCAGAAATTATTTTCATCTAGTAGTGGAAGGAAAATATGACTAAAGTATGAGAAAAGAATACTAGAAATTGAACAACTTTCAGCTTCTAGGAGAATTGCTTTGTATTTTACAAGTGCGCGTTGGATCGCACTGTCTCAACGTGAGTGACGTTTCACCCTTGGCTGGAAGCTTCTCCATTCCTTTCCGAACTCGTTTCCTTCAGTTTCAAATGGAACTAACGAAGTTCGTTGTTTAAAAAAGATATCTTAGACATCACAAATTACCCTTCTCCGATGGTCCGCTTCTTTTTCTAACTAAGAATTCTTTATTTTTACGATTTTATATTCACAGCGTACACTATCTCACTATCGGCATGGTCAAGTGACCGAGAAACGAAAAAGCTTTCCATGCCGAAGCCTACGAAATCAAAACAAACGAAGACAGCGAACCACATACCAGTTATGTTAGTCTTCCATTTGCAGTCACTGTCGAAAGAATAGACAGGACTAAAGATGAGTAGGAGAAGTACAATGAGTAGGGAATGAGTGCGCGTCGCCATACCGCGCTACTGACTGAGTGTGCCCCGCCCATTACGAGGAGAGGTGTTGTAGGTTTGTGCAGTGGAGGACAATGAAATGGAGTAGGATGGGGGTGAAGAGGGAAACTTCGAGACGAGCGTCATTTGAGGAGGAGGATTCAAGGCCGTGAAGTCGGGCAGAGGAACGGCGACGCACTTACGTGCCGACATCATAGCGTCCGTCCTTGTTGTTTTACCGAAGCGGGTAAAAACACACCGAGGTAAAGCATGAAGGAGCCGAAGCACGAACACTTCTATAGCCCAAGCTGACGACTACTATTTGCAACCTTTACAAGCGAGATTGAATTCTACTCGATCTCTTCAGTTTTTTTTTGCATGAACGACTGAATGGTTGCAGTCGACAATACCAACAGAGAGTTGCTTACTTTTGAGGCTTGCTACAAATGTTGGGTTCGCTTTAAAGGTATCCAAACAAAAACTCATGAAGAAACAGAAGAGAATCCTGTTGTTTTATTGGTTTTCACCATTTTTTTCCTTGTTTATTACCATGTTGTCGATGGATCCGACAAGTAAGTTGTTGCCGGTGAAGATTCTTTTCGATGAAAACGCTTCACAGATGGGAGATTTAATTCAAGAAAGAAAGCGCTTGCAGACATACTAGAAGCCACCAGCTTGCTTCTTTACTCACACACAGAAACTGGTGGCAACAGGAACGAGTTTTCTCTCCCAAAATTCTTTCAACGACCACTTAGTGCTTCAGCGCTCTCGAATGGAATCCGCGGAAAGATATTCACTTTGTTAACACTGAATGAACATAAATCTTCGCGAGGAATAAAAATAGTTTAAAAGTGAACGAGCGCGCGGATTCCTGGAACACCAGACTCTGTAAAGGCAAAATTCCGCGAGGGTAGAAGGATTCTGTAGACTGTTTTATTTTCTACTACATTCCATCGACTTTAGCTGGACTGAAAATTCCTTTTAGCGTGTTCTTGCTTGGCTATCCCAGTATTGCACAATAGACTTGATTAACATTCAGCGACATTCATAAATTGGAGCAAAAAGTGCTCGAGAAGCAGTCGAAGCCACGTGTAGGCCATAGTCGAAGATGGATGCTAGGAAACGAATCGATTGAAAGAAGCACTAACATCTGTACAATACCTGTGTAGAATCTGTGAAAAGTAAAATATGTATACATATATATATATATATAATATGCCTTCCAACCTCATTGGTAGGTGATGGAGGGGGTGAGTAGTGGGTTGTTCTTTCTCCTGTTTGTTGGACTTCGATAACAATAGGAATTTCATCCTCCGAGAAGGCGGTGATATGAACGACAATGGGATTACACAGTCTGAGAATCTCGACATTTCCATGTTTTAGCTGACCCACTAATAATCCAATGAATGAAACCAATATCGTGCTGGATTGGAAACCCAGTGGCAAATTGTTGAATCTTTCTACCGTTCCGCTAAAGCCTATTATGACTTGTGGTTATAATTTCGAAACGCTCTTTCTGATGAGTTCAAAAAAAGTCCCGCTACGTCAGTGGCAAACCAGTTAGGTGGAAAGTGTTCTATGTACAGCACGAGTCTTGCTGAAGAAAGGCGGTGAAGTCATCAAGTATTTATGAATGTGTTGGCGAAAACAAAGTGCAACAGTTCGTTACGTACGTGGTTGCCTATAGTGTCAAGCGTACGTTTGAATATGCATCGTGCACGCTCTCCATGTGGAAGGCAACAGTTGGGTTCCGTTTCGCAAACCATCACGAAGACCATATCGACATGTGTACGTAAAACAACTCACATGACGACGGACCGCGGTGAAGCTCATGTAAACACCGTTATAGTTGCTCTGACGTAACGATCCATTAGAATTATCACTTCATGAATTTTGTGGAAATATGCCTTATTTAATGGGCCCGTGTGGCGCAGTGGTCGGAAGAACCCTGCAACACACACGTGGAATCGATCCCCGCGCCTTCCACATTTCTGGGCTCTGCAAATTGGTACCAGATTTGTCTGGGAGGATCGCAGCACTGGCTCACTCCATACATCGGTAGGCCACCGCGATTCATTGTAAAGGCCAGATGTGCATTCAGTCACCTCCAAACGATGCTTGATGAAGTAGAATGCATGGAGCACCCCGCAGGAACTGATCAACACCGAGAGCTTTATCCTTTTAACCTTTATGTCTTATTTAAGCAGGAAAAAGAGAAGAGGAATTTAAGGATTCAAATTTCGAAACTTAAACAGGGTGTAGTAATTTCTATGAGAACATTCTACAAAAACAAACTTTTCGCTTCTATCCTGTAATGTTACGATGTCACCTTTTATATGGGTCGATGAGTTCCTTTGGAGAATAATACTTCGACCTCGCGTTGTTTTCTAGTAGATTTTCGTGTTCCTCTTTCTTTTTTTGGCTACAAGGAATAGTTTATGGCTTAACGTAGTGAAAAGAATGGCACAACAACACCAATGATTGCGCAAGTAATGGGTTTCATTTGGCGGAAAGAGGGCTATTCAGTACTTCAAGCTCTATACAGGTTCCACGAAACCATCATCAGTCGTTCGTTCGTTCGGAAACCGGAGTGATCTGGATCAGATCGGCTGAAATTCTAATGGTGTTTTTGTGTGATCTGGGTTAAGCAAACATCTATTAGGTTGGGCCTCATCTGCCTCCTTCTTTCATCGAATGACCTCAAGAAGGAACGGAAGGCGCCACTATTTTCCCAGTACCATTATGTGGATTGCAGTACTGCGAACTGTGAACATTTCTAACCCTAGGTGAACAAATCATACTTTCTCTATGCGCCAACATCGTTAATAACCAGTGACGGATGACGACCATTTCCCTTTTCTCTCCCTGCGTTTTCCATTTACTTTCTCTGGTTGTCTGTCTTCAGATATCCATGGAATTTCCATAGCATCTCGATACTGAGACGTCTTCGTGATCAACAACCATCTCTCTAGTGAAAACATGTTGTAGGTTGAAAAGGAATCCATCAGCGTTTGCCTGAGCACCACGTATAAAACATGATCATTCCAAACATTCCCAATATTTCTATGGTGCGACGGCAAAAGAAGTACAGCCCCGTGTTTTAATCTCAGCGCAAATTTAGTAGAAATGTCTATAGTAGTAGTATATTCCGCAGTACTCTAAGGAATTCCCGAAGTTCTGAAAGAACCAAGCACGTGAATCATCTCCAAAAAAATCTCTGCAGATATTTCATGCGTAAGATCGTGGCGATGGCTACTGTCCGCAATTATCACATAGTTACAGCAAAATAACTGGTCTGCCAATTCGCAGTGGAAGCCAAAACCTAAAGCCCAATTCCTTAAATTTGCAGTAAGGTCATGGAAAACGTTCCCAAATGATCTCTAACGGTAATTGAAATATCTTCTCATCACAAGGGAGGATTTCAACGTACTAAACGTAAAGAGCTTCTGTGTGAAATAAACTACAACTCACAAAATGAAAATGCTTTAGTGACACTTATTTGTAGTAGAATATCAATGAATCATTGACGGTTGCTGTAATGTGTCTTCGTGATTCATTACTCGTAATACGACGACTGAACAATGAATAACACCCCACCCCCAATTCCACTAATCACCGAGTGTCTCGACCGCTCACGAGCCAAATCCCTATTCATCCCGCAGCACACAAAGCTGCGCTGTAGGCCCCGATTGCACCATAGTCGACAAGAGTCTCACATTTTCAGTATAGGATTCTTATTTTAACCCTTTTGACGGAAATTAGCCTTGGGTAAACTTTCAGGTAGATTTTAAAGTATGACATAAGTTTACTTGAAGCTGAAACTCCAGCTGGAAGCGGATAAGGCGTTAGCGGTTGAATAATATAATAACCACCTCAAAACCCAGTGCTTTTTGATGATGCTGAAGTCAGCTCGATACGCAAACACTTCATGTCTTTCTCAAACTCTTCCTTATAAACAGCATTATTTGAAAACATGTTGTTGGTCGTGGAGTGGTTCGGGCCTGTGACAGTAAATTTTCAGTTTGTCAGGGTTGCGTATCAAAGCTGTCTAGTGGATTCTACCTGTGCAAAGAACTACGAGAGGGCTGTATTTCTTTTCAAAGATCTTCCTCAGAAAATATGACCGTCTTACTTCCATCTTACGTCTGGCATTCCGTGGTTCCCACACCCCAATCCGTGTTATCCAGCAGCTGTCGTTAAGACTCATCATTTGTTCGCCCCATCTGGACTCCTATGTCTTGGCATAAGTGCTACCGCCTCTGATATTTGATTGAATGTCGGAACTTTCGATTCTCTCCTGATCTTTCGCTCTCTCATGTGTTTGATATGGGATATCCCTAGTGCTTCACGCTTTCGAACGCGTGTCTAATAGCTCTAAGTGGTTATCCATCGTGGCTATGAGCGTGTTCAGATTCCCGAGCTATACAATAAGGAAGAAAGAACCATCTGGAGTAAAAAACGCGGGCGCGAAACCTGATGTTTGCTGCAATACACCATCGACGGCTTATTAAGCTCCTTACGCCGCTTATTTTCTCCTGCACAGCAGTATAGTAGTATAGTGCAGTCGTTCATCACGGTGACATATCGATCCAGATACCCATAGCTAGAGCATTGAAGGGAACATCGGATATGAACCCTTTCCTCGCAGTCTAATGAAAAATCGATATCACCGCAAACCTGTTTTGCAAGCCTGTTCAAAATGGCCAGTATTCGTTCCACCTTGGTAATGATTGATGTCAT